TTTAAGTGGTCACAGTGCAGAAAAATAATTTTTTTTAGCAACAAAAATCAAAGACAAAACTTAGCATGCTGAAGTCGATATAATTCATGGTGATGACAGACATCACATTAACAAGATATTTCTACAATCATGCATCAGTCAGGGTACAGTCAGGGGCCCTCCGATCTGTACAAGTGGAATAGGAGTTTGGTCCACATTACCAACATTAAGTCAGACACACCTGTTCCTGGTGCTTGTTGGACTCCAGCAGGGCTGCTCTATCACAAATCGCCTTTCTGCCCATGTTAGTCTTTGCTGTGTTTGGATGTTGGGCCAATTAGTACGATTTTATAGTTTAGTGTTCTGATAATAGTTTCTAGCATCATACGATACAAATTTATGTATGTGAAAGTATGATTAACATAACATTCTCTTCTGAATGGAGGCTGCTTATCCATCCAAACTGAAACTTTTCATTATTGAATGAAAGTAATTACTCAAGACTATTTTGTATTGATTTGTTACTCTACCCTCTGGAGGCAATCCATCAGTTATAGCTCATAAAGGTTTATCCTGAACTTGGCACCCACCTTCCATGATATATTTGGGTTCCGCTTTTAGAGGTTTTATAAAGCTCAAGACAAACTGGACGACACGGCAGATATTAAGGGAAATTCCCAAGCTTAATTTACAGGAACATGTTTAAATATTTGTTAAAAGGTTTAAGATTTGTTGGAGTTGCACATTTTCTTTAAGCAAAGCAAATAATTTTGAAACACATTTAGGCCTAATAGACATATTTTCCAAATCTGTACTCCACTTTTCTTTTTTTTTTTTTTTTTCATTAACAGTGATGAGGATAGTGAGAAAACAGCACCCTGGAATCCCCAAGTATCTGTGAGAACTAATACCCATTGTCTTCATACTGGCTAGTTCTTTGGGAGTTATGCCCGAAAAGCTTTTCCTGCACAAAAATCAAATGAAACAACAAATGTGTGGATAAGCTAGTATGATGGAAGATCTATGAAGATGTTTTTCATCTATAGCTTGATTGCTTCTTTGATATTTAAAAACATTCATTCTTCTTCCCCCGCTTATCTGTCAGGGTCATGGTACCAGTGCCTGTCTCCAGTAGTTTGCGGACGAAAGGCAGGCGGCACCCTGGACCGGTCACCAGTCGCATGGAAACAGTCACACACAGGGACATACACTCTCACCTAAGGACAATTTAGAGAAGCCAGTTAACCTAACAATTATGTTTTTGGGCTGTTGAACAAAGAGTACCCTGAGAGAACTCATAAATGCTGTATGAGTCAATTATTTTTTGTTAATAATTAACAGTTTGTTTTTGTGGATACTCTGGCTAAGTTTATTCTACTTATTTGTTTGATATCTGTTTTTAGATCATGTTTTTTTGGTTATTTAATTAAGTTTCTTTGTTTCTGGTTAGTTTTGATTAATTTGGTTGAATTAAGATTATAAATAGGCTGTCAATGGTAGAAACAGCATGCATCTGGGTGGACGTATTTTTTTCTTTTACCGGAGCAAGAGAAGCATGGAGGAAATGGTGGTCCTTTTCTGTTTGCTTGCCTGAGGAGAAATAAACTAAGAAAACTGAAGCAGTTTACCTGGAACATTTTTTCTTTTGCCTGCGTAAATTACTTGACCATGGTGCATCTGTGGCTTTTTTGGACTTTTTTTGTGTCATCAAAGCTGGGCCACAACATATGGATTCGGGAGAAAATCCAAACTCCATGCAGAAAGACGATAGCCTAGGAATCGAACCCAAGACCGTCTGGCTACAAGGCAAGTTCTACAAACTCCACCCCCATGCGGGCCTTTGTAAAACCATTTTAAGCAATAAATCTTTCATAAAACCGAAAACATGTCATTACTATGTCCTGTGATTCAAAACATATAGTCAAATAAACAGAAATCCGGTGGGAAATCACCTTTTAAAGCCTTAAAAAGGAAGAAGGAATTATTTCCTAATGGGGGTGGAACAAAGTAGTAACAGTAGACAGTTATTACTCCAATGCTTTAGTTGAAAACAATTATTACCTTACATTCCCAAGGGAATAACTTTTCAAATTAAAAGTTTGTTTTAAATTCCTAGTTCAATTTGGTGTCACTACAGTAAAAGATAATTTATTCTAAACCTTGGGGTGGCTGACACTGTTTGACTCTAGCCTTCTGCTTTAAGAAGTCAGATGATCTCTTATTTGTATTCTTTCGCTAACTTATCTCTGTGTACCTGCCCTCTTTCAAGCAGCTTTTCTGGAAGACTGATTCTAAGAATCTAATTATGGCAAAAGGTAATTAAGTTAATAGCTCATGGAGGTAACCAACGTGTTCTCAGAAAAACGAGATGGATGCCGGGGGCTAGGAGGGGTGGTGATGATGGCACACCCCCTCCGTGTTGTGATTTGCCTTTTACAAACACCCATCCTCAGGGAGAGGAAGAGAGATGCGGAGGAGAGAGAGTTTGTCCCACATCTTTACAGCTAAAAAGCCACCGAGGAGACAGTCCGCGATGGAGCCGTCTGCAGAGCGCAGAGCGCAGCGCTTCCATACGTGGATCTGAACAGAAAAAACGGGATTTTGATTGAAAGCGAACATAAAACTGCAAACGGAGCCTGATTTAAAAAAATAAACCCTGCTGTTGGACATCTTCTGGACTCAAACTTAATTTGAACCAGTTTTAAAGGTAAGTTAGTTTGCCGGACATTGTGTCTTTTGTGCGTAAAATGTGTTCTGTTCGTCTCTTGTCAGTTTGATCAGGAATTTTTTGACTTAAATTGTCAAAAAAAGTGTCAAATCCAAGAGATGAAACATTTTGCAGAAACATATGCATTATGAACTGTATAATTAAATTATCTTTATGCAAAATACAAATTAATTATAAAATTAATTATATAAAGATTTAGGCATGCAAAAGTCTGCTTCTATACATTTTATACTATTTTGATATTTAGGTTTCATCCATTTGAAAGCAGTTAAAGCACCCCCCCCCCCCCCCCCATAAAACTAGACCCCAAGCCCTGTTTTATTTTAGCCTCTAAATGATCTATTTTCCACTAAATACTAATAGACATTTGTTTATTTTTTAAAGCATATCTAATTTACCATATTTCCCCTCTTGCTTATTTTTAGCTCTACCTAATTGCTGCTCATGCATCAGGTTATTTTACCAAACTACAATTTGCATACAATCATTCAGTATGTAACTAAAAACCACAAGAATCTGAATCCCATTTTAGTGGACATTCCTCTTTTTCCCCAATTTTAATCCAGGCATATTAGACAGATCTAGGCCATACTTGAAAGTCTGAGGTTCCAGCCTTTAAGCACATTTTTTCTATTTCCAGTAGAGGGTAGAGACACCTGACAGTTTTGATTTTATTATGGAAACACGGGATACTTGACATTTATCAGGGCATTCTTGCAATCAGATTCAATCATCTCTTGAAACATGAGCTTCAGAAAGTCTAGTTTGTCTCAGGAAAACAAAGTGGCTTTGAAAACATGTTTTTCTCTGGAAAATTGCATTGAAACATCTACAGAGCAAGACAGGCTGAAAACAACAGCGACAGCAGAATACTTACAAATGAAACCTGTTAGAATTGAAATCATACAAGCACCAGGTTCTACATTAATTTATCTCATTATGTTTGCTTTTTTGAAAACTTTTCCCTTCCAACTGCAGGGAAGGTGAGCAGATGGTAGTACCTCCCCATTATTGTCACTTATTGACAGTGTAAATTCACCCAGGATTGATGTTCTTGTTCTTAATAGTCTAACAGGCAATACTTGGGGCATTGATTCTTCTTTCTCTAGCCTTCATCTCTGCAGAGCACATCTAACCCTTAAAGTGTGATTAAGCAGCCCTGCTATCATAGAGGCATAAATAGAAGAGTAAATGAGATGAAAATGTATTGATCTGGATAATATGATCGCTGTTATTCTGGTTCTGAAGGGCAAAACGGAAAGGAGACCGGGTGGAGTTGAGATAATCGTGTCTGATGATTTGTGTTCTTCTAATGCAGAAATGCAAAATGCTTTGCAACCTTAATAGGCCACTTAGGGTACCATTACAGCTACTGAGGCTGAGAATGAATGAGCAAACCTCTGCAGATAAAGGTGTGGCTGCATCCTTCACAAAATCTGGAGATTAATACTAAATTAACCACCCTTTCGGCAGAGTATCGCTCTTTAAATACATTTTTGTGTCGTATGGATCTTTAGCTTGATGAATCTTTTGGATATTTGAACTTTTTCTTCTCTGCATAATCCTCTGTAAATATGCTCAGTTTGTTTACATCTGGTTGCAGGTTTTCTTCTCTGTTCTAAACCCATTTTTCTCAATCTGTCAGGTTCCCTTGTTGCTGCTGCCTGAGTCTGATTGGGAACTGATGTGTGTCATGGGGATATGGTGAGGCGATGTGTACAAGCTTGTGTGAGAGAAGATGTCCTGCCATCAGTGGAGGAACAGGAAGAGGGTCAGGTGAAGGGCTGGATATCTACTCATGGCTGTGTATATCACTCCTGTTCTCGGCTTTGTGGGGTCAAGCAACCCCTCAGTGCCCGGACAGCTGCCACTGTGCCTGGGACACGGCCACCGTTCTGTGTTCAGATGCGGGGCTGCGAGAGATCCCAGAAGGGATCCCACCGGAGACTGTTTTCCTACACCTGGAGCGCAACTACATCCGGAACATCCCAGAGGGTGCCTTCAGCCACTTGGTTCACCTGCAGGACCTCTACTTGTCTCACAACCGCATTGACTCTCTCTCCTCAGGGGCTTTGCGGCATCTGGGACCCGACCTGCGGTTGCTGGACCTTTCCCATAACCAGCTGAGGCAGGCCAGTAGGGAGGATTTTGGATCCACTCGTGCCAAAACACGGCTTTACCACAATCCCTGGCACTGTGACTGCACCCTGCAGGAGCTGATGGAGACTCTGTACCTTGAACCTGAGACTGTGAACGGGATCATCTGCGAGAGCTCAGTGCGGGGTGTAGGTGAGGGGGGGCGGTGGGAGGACCCGGGGTCACCAGGGGAGCATGCAGGTCAGCCGTTGGTCAAACTGCTGGATTCAGGGGTAAACTTCTGCAGCCTGCAGAGGAAAACCACAGACGTAGCCATGCTGGTAACCATGTTTGTGTGGTTCTTCATGGTCATCGTGTATGTTGTGTACTATGTTCGACAGAACCAGGCAGAGGCCCGCAGACATTTGGAATATTTGAAGAGTCTACCCAGCCCACATAAGATCCCTACAGAGACAGACACTCTGAGCACTGGTTTCTGAGCAAATGTTTACGCTCAGTAATCAGATGCCATCTTTATGGAACGGGACTCTGAAACCCATAGAGGGATTCACACGTGGAGGAAAATAATCATGCCTAATTATTTCTTCGAAATAATTAATTTTCTTATTGCCTTTTTTTTCCAGTACAAAATTATAAGTTTTTCTTAATTTGTATGATATGCACTTAGAGAATGGCAAGACTTTTAAAAGCGCAGCAGAAGGGAAGATAAAACAGGTGTACGCATAAAGAAAGACCGTTTTTGAACATAATAACATTCTGCCTCCCTTTGTAGCCCCTCTGTTCTTCTACCACCATGCCTCGTACTGTGCTCTTTTATCTTTCATTAGGTCCTAATTAGGCGAAGTTGACCAGCTGACCCCTAATGAACAGTTGAAAGACACTAATCAATTGGAGTGTGTCTGTCAGGTGTGCAAATTCAGATGCATGTCCTTTGATTTGTCTGTATTTATGTGTGTGTTGGAGTTTGTGTGTTGTGCTCAGGCATCGTCACGGCCATTCTTATTTTGACAGTCCTGATTTAGCAACCGAAACATATTATTTACTTCACATCTGTACTCAGCCTGTGGGTTATCTAATAGTATTGGACTTATGTCTCATGAACACTCACATGCAAAAAATAATTTGATATAATGTTTGAATAATTTATTTAAGTATTTTATATACAAAAATCATTTATACATATTTACCAATTATTTTATTTAAATCAGCCTAAGGCTTTTGGCTACAGCACTTAAAGGTATAATGGGGGATTTTCCTGAATTTTGAAGTCTTGCCCTCCACTTTTAAAAAAAAATGCACAGGCTCAATCCTGTACCCACTCTTGAAAGGGAAAGCCTATTAAACGCAGCAAGAGCACAAACAAGGCCATTTCTCCTCGTGCACATCATACAAGCTTACTTTCCAAAAGAAGATGTGCAATTCTTCCACTATGTCAGACTTACTATTGGTAAGTGAAAATGGGGACAAGCACGTAGGATGGCCTTACGTAAACATATCACCAGAATGATTGACGATTAGGAAGACCACTTATTTTGATGATCCACTCGGAAAAACAGCATCCTCCACTATACATTTAAGCTTTTTTCACTCAAAGCCAGTGGTTACAGCTGTTACACTGTGTTGACCAGCCTAAGTGACAGTGAGAGGCATTTCATAGTGTTGGCCTACTGCAGAAAATACAGCATGAATTACATTTATAAGTACAGAAATACTTAAATAAAAGTTCAACATCCCTCCAAATTCAAATGAATGTGTTTGGATTGATATGATTCAGTTTAATTGAGTTTATTAATGTTGTGCAATTTCACAACACATCATCAAAGCATTTTACAAAGAAAATTCAAGGCTTCTACAAAATTCTGCATTTAGTAAGATTTGGAAATCTCTAAAGAGTGTAAATCAATAGGTGCAAATTGGATTTATTCGTGTCCTGCTTTGCTTTGATTATGAAATGTATGAATATTTTATATTTATGTTACTTTTTGGAACTATTGGTTCTCCACAGTTTAAGTCCTTCACATGTTATATGAAAACGGACTATTTTTAACACCACACCAAAAAACCCCCAAAACAAATCATTTGTCATTAAGGGAACTATTGATTTTCTTTTTTTTAACTCGCCATGTAAAATCTGATGAATTTCTTCTTCTTGACACATTACGGTAAATGAAACCCCCACTGGATTGAAAACCAGGTTTGATTGATTTTTCAAGAGGGTGTTGTAATCCTGTTTATTGTGCAAATGTGTCCTTAAAATGGGTAGGTTAGTATTTTATGTAAGACTTGTATCTAAATATGATATAATTCTTCTCTTCTGCAAGAAGAAATGTAAAAAATGTTTCCAACTGTTTAAATACAAGCTAAGCTTTTGTTCCCAACATCGTCTGAGACTTTATTCAGGTGATCGAAGCAAACAAATGTTTTTTTTCCCCCAGCTTTTTATTGTCATTACACCGTCACAAGTACAGAGCAACAAAATGAACTCTCTGCATTTATCCCATCCCCTTTGGGAGCAGTGGGCTGCCATTGTGGGGCCCCTGGGGAGCAGTGGGGGGTTAATGGTCTTTGCTCAGGGACCCAGAGTGGCAGTCTGTGGGAGTGGGGCTCGAACTCAGATCCTCAGGATTCCAAGCTCTATGCCCTAACCACTAGACCGCCACTCCCAAAATGATGTTCATCTTTGTTTTTGTAACTGACCTGTTATTTATTTTAATACCTCTGTATTAATGTCACAACAAGAGATGTTCTTTGAAAGATTACCTTGGTCAAAAACATTTATGAACTGAAAAAAAGAAAGAACCAAATAGTTTTTATTGCATGTACTGTCTCTTTTTGGACATTCAAATAGCAATCATCAGTAAAAAAAAAAGTTTAGAAAGATAAAAAGCAAGAATCCATAAAAGTTATTATGGAAAATTAGCACTCAATGCAATGAGAAACAAAATAAAATTTTTGTAAGTGTAGTGTTGCGTAAGTTATTATTTTTTTTATAGAACTGTAATTTTTTTGTGTCGATCTGTTGTAAGCATGGGGCAGTTGGACAAGGATATCAAGTAATTTGAATGAGAGGCCAGAAAAGTTTTTTTTTTCTCCAAAGTCTCCATATCTCATCTGCTGCTGCACACTGCCGGACAATGAGCTTAAAGTAGGCTACTATGCTTTTTAGTGTTCTTAAAAAAGGCTTTTTAAAAAATATTTATAATAAACAAAAACCAATAAACATTGCTATGGGAAAAAGAAGTTTCATCATCACTTTATTTCAAACTTAGTCCTGGTGATTATGTGTCTGTCAAGCAGAAGCTGAAGGCTGCAATACCATAACATGAAACCTAATGTTCCAGTAATAAAAAGGTGCAAATAAAGAAATGGATCAGTTTTTAATTTTAATTTTTCTTATTTCTGGAAAGAATGTGTAATTTCATGTATATATATGTATATATTTCTATACATCTGTTACATAGATTACCTTTGTTTTACTTGGTGAAATAAAGAGTAAACAGAGGTCTAAATTGACTGATTTTTTGTTTAACATTCTGTTCTTATCTTGTGTACAAATGACTTGGTCAAGCTGCTATAATTGTACCTGAGTTTTATTAAATATGGATCCATTTTATGTGCAGAAGCTGAAATTAGAGTAGGTCAGACACTGTGTATTAAACTTAGCCATTATCGTGTAGCTAAAGCTATAAGATAGTAGTAATGTGTCTTTACTGTTATTTACAAAATATACTTCTAAATTTCAAGAAAAATACTAATCAGTATTATCCCAAGGTCTAATTATTTATATCCCAAATTTAAAAAATGTCAACTTTTTGTAAGCCTGAACCGTTTTTTATTTTATTGGTGTTAAGTTGATCTTTAAATCATTTCTTTATTTTCATGTTTAGCTGAAACAAACTATTTAAATATGAAAAGTAATACAACAAAACTAAAAAGTATAATCTATATTTTTCTATCCAGTGTATTTTCTACAAGAACTTTGATGGGGCCATGTTATTATATTATTATGATTAAATCTATCTAATTGAATGTGTGCAGTTAGGGTAAAACTCCCACTCATACTCCTGGCTGATGCAAATTAAAATGTTATTTTCATACAATCAGAAAGTTCCACAATCTTCCCTCAATGATATGCTGAGGTAAAGATGTGTTATTTCTAAAGTAAAGCTCTGATTTCACTCAAGAAATAGAATAATAAATAATCAAATTAAAAATGTTTCTTTGGTTTAAAGGAATAAAATAACTCCTATATTTGTAGATAAGCTTTTATTTATTATTTGCTTGTATTTCTTCCCAATAATTCTTTGCAGCAAACCCCAAGTTAGGCAGATTTCAGTCACATCACCCTTCGAGGTCCCTCCATAGATTCTCCACTGGAATCATAACACTGACATTACTTCCAGCCAGAAGAAGCATGTCAGTCCAATCATTACTTTTTATATAATCATGCCTTGGATATAAATATAGTGTAACTGTTAATCACAAAATTCAATAAAACTCCACCAGTCCAGTACTTGGGTTTTGGCATTTATTTCCAATTTACATTAATTTAAACGTAACAAAAACAAGTCAAGACCATAGTAATAATAATATACTAATAATGCTATTATTATTAATAATAATTCTATTATTAATAATAAAGAATATACACAACCTCACACATTTGAACCCTCTGCAGTGGAGCATTGGTGAAATACATCCCAGATCATGTGTGTGTTTCTACTTTGATGCAGAGGGTGTGTGCTGTGTAAGGGGACCAAAAGGGGTGGGGGTGGGGTTATGGGTCAGGATGAGGGGCAGCAGACTGGTCTCACATATCCAAATATACCTAGAATGACCAAGAATTATTATTGTAAACTAAGTTTAGATATGTTTTGTATTTCTTTTTTTTTTATGTGAGGTAGTCTTAAATTGCCGAATCAAATTTTTAGAAAACACAAATTGGTGTATTCCTACACTGATTGCAAAGCCGTATCACTTATTTATGTTCATGTAAAGGTCAAAAATCACAGTGAAAACCTAAATCCTAGGATGAAATGGTATCTGACTCGCTGCATGCGTATTGCATTGTTTAAAAACACAAACCGTTTAACAATAGCACCATTGACTTTATTAAAGTACACAGTAATTTTGATACACACTATGGTTGGAGGAACAGGAACAATTGCACTTTCTACAGTATTTTGAAATATGTTTGGTTCCAAGAACTAAAAAGATCATTATTGGTCTGGGACATACGAATGATGGGATGATCAGAAAACAGGAGAAAGTTGGCAGATGCGGCGTCTTTTTCAATAAAATATTTTTCTTTTCATCAATTGGCAGCAATCTCAGTCCTACCACACCTGGGACCTTAACCTAAACAATAAATAAATAACACCAACACATTGTCATCTCTCTTTTTCCCTGGTATGTTCCTGTTTTCTCATCATACTTCCTCCTTCTAGATATTGGGTAGGTGAGCAGGGGACTGCTGTCACAGCTAGAGAAAAACTGGGAGATTTAGGGAGTGGAGGGTGTCCATGAAGGGGGAGAGAAAGGACTGAAGGCAAAGCTGCGGCTGGATCACAAATGACAGTTAGTTGGTGCCATTCAGTGCAGATATCCTACTGAGTTCGACTTGGAAAAGCACTTTTTATTTAAAAATAGGTCCCATGTGGAAAAAAAAAGTGTCTTGATTTTTTTCTCTCTTTCTCTCCTTTTTTACTGAAGTCTACTCCTCTTTCCTTTTCACCTTTTCAAATAGCCACTTTTTTCCTCTTCTTGTCAGCTGCTCATTCTTTACAAGAAGCAAACTGCCCCGATATCAACTCCAAACTCCTGGTCTGCTCCACCGATATCCATGGGAGCAATGTCTACGATAGGCAGACGAGAGGTCTTCTGCGACCTGTATTCAATCACTGTCTTACCCCACTGTCCTGTGTGTCTCTGCATAGAGAAAAAAAGAATACAAAAAACAATGTAAAACATTTGGTTTTCCCCTGCTGCCATCAGACTGTTGAACTCTAATCTAGACTCTGCATCACAGTTGTAAACATCCTATTTGCACTACATGGCTGATTTTTTTCATAATCCCTTTAAATAGAACACAACTCCATGTTCTACTGCATTTTGCACCATATTACGGTAATTTATTTGTGCTGCACTGAACCTGTCAATATCAATGCCTTTTGCACCATGTCTTTAAACTTGTTTTCCTTTTCTCCTACACTGTTTACATTCTTAATCACAGCTGCATTTAAAAATGGAAATGTTAATTTCACAGTTATAAGCTGCTCATTCACTGTTAAAAAGCTGTATGCATCAAACTTTCAAAGTTTGTCTAGGTCTGAGGTTTACCCCCCTAGAGGGTAGATTTATGTTTACGCCATCAGGAATGCATACCGTGCAACTGTCCTCCATGACGCTGTAGGTGAAGCGGCTGTTGCCCTCGGCTCTGATTTCCACATCGTTGGAGCCTTGGAGCAGCACGGCCTTCTTCAGGTTGCTATTTGAGGCATCCAGGTATGCCACGCTGTTCTTGCAGTGGTAAGTGATGTTTTGGGAAGCCTCAGTGGAAAGCAACCTCAGGAAAGTCATCTGAATAGCGGCGGTGTTAGGGGCCAGGCTGTCATCACCATAACTGAACTGCATTGGATAGAAAATAATAAACCATATAATCTTAGAGCTCAGCTAGTGTTTTTCAAAAAGCTTACGCTTTGAAATTGTTTCATTTGACATATTGCTCATTTATAATGTTATGGTATTCTTAGTTGGATGATCATGAGAGCACTGATTCTGTAGAGTGTAGACAAAGATTAGGAAGTCTATCATGAGGACAAAACATCTGATTAGCGTAGGGCTGAAACAATTAATCGGATTAATTGTGATTAATCGATTATTGAAAAAAATCGTCAACTACTTTATTGATCGATTAATTGTTAAATGGAGTATAGAGAATGTCAAACATGCCTTTAGCTGACAGAGCAACCCATTTAGAGCAGCAATTATACCAAAATTGTGAAAAAATGTTGCATTTAAGATAAAAAAAATAATTTTTGTCTGTCAACATGCTCTATCCAGAGTTTAGTTTCACATGGTTTACTTTCGTAAAAGGTCTTCTTTAAGGAACCTTTGTTTTTCTATAAGTAATCAATTCATTGAAAACATTATCGACAGATTAATTGATTTGCAAAATAATCGTTAGTTGCAGCCCTAGTGTGCTAACATCATCAGATCAGATACAAAGGAAGGAGATACTGATTAGATACTGATTATCTGGTTGTCTATATTTCTTTGCCAAATGCAAAGCAAGACACACACAGAGGTGTAATAGAATATAACATTATAATACATTTATTTTATATTTCAAAAAGACTTCTTAGCTTTCTAAAGTTGACCTTTCCTAAACATCCACTCCTCTATCCATTATAAAAATTTTTGTTAGCTTGTGCCAGAAAACCAACAGTTAAAATGATTCCACTAGAAACTAAAAAAAAAGGTTGCAGATCTTACATGGAACCCTCCATTCATTGTCTCTCCGAACCAGACATGTTTGCTGTCTTTGCTCTTGCTGGACCACCAGTTCTTGCGTGGGATCTTAGCAGGCCTAGGATTCACACAGGACTCCCCAGTCTCCATATTGCAGAAGACCTTGATTGCATCAACGGTGCAGCCCTGATTGGGATCAATCCAATACTCACCTATAAAAAATAAAAGAAAAACAACAACAAGGGATGAGGCTGTATCACTAATATGCATCACTCTTTGTGCCCAGCTGATTAAAAGCTTCTCTCATTACATTGGTGTTTTGGTATCCTATAGCACAATTTAGATTTTAGTCAAATCTTTCATTTAAAAACACAAAAATATTTTTTTCCAGTCTAAAAATCAATTCTGCTTTATAATTCAATCCAGATCTCATTGACACTAACCGCTCTTCCAGTCAGGGTGGCACAGCTTTAGATCTCTGCAGGTGCGAGCAGGGTTCTTCTTGGACCCCTCTGGGCTGCGAATGTTCTCAATCTGGTTGTTGAGAGACTTGAGAGTGGCGTCGACCTCTGCATCGTGTTGACGGAGATTGCCCGCGGCCTGGTCAGCCCTCATGTACCTGAGAGGATCTGGGGACTTTTCTGTTTGACCCAGACCAGCAAAGGCAGACATGTCAATGCCAGGACCAGGGGGACCAGGAGGACCAGGGGGTCCGGGGTTTCCAGGGGGACCCTAAGAGACAAAAAGAAAATGTTTCTTTTTATTTAGCTTTCCTCTTTACTTATGTTTTCCTAACACACTTCTGGATTTTTATTCCATTTCTAGACAATTATGTAAATAAGGTCTTTGGAATATAAAAGTGTTCATTTATGCCATAATTTTTCCACTTCTGTTCTGAAGATTGTTCTGTGAGATGCTTTATCTCTGACCTGTCTGCTGTGTTCCTCGCTCTTCAACATCCTTTTTTTGCACTAATGTTCTCTAAACCTCTTCGCAGAATTTTATTTGGGGGTAGCATAGTGAAAGGGTTTAAAGGCAAATCTGCACTACACATTTACTGGCTGAAATAAAAAAGAAAATCCTGGATCTATTTCCTTCTACTTTACACTAATATACTACTTTGTGTTTATCCATCACCTCATGTGAACTTTGTTGCTGCAGCATGGCAAAATGTAAAAAAAAAAAAAAAAAGAAATCATGTGGTGGAAATAATAATTACATAAGAGGGAAATTAAATGACAGTTTTTGGTGCTGTTTTCAGAGTCGCCAGCACGATTAACAGCACCTTAACTTGTGGAAAGATTTAACTCTTGATTTTTTTTAGGTATATTATTTGTTATGTTTTACATTTCCCTGGCTCCTGATATAAGCTTTTGATAATTATATTTATTTGTCTGTCAAGTTGTTTAATTTTTTCTGCTGTCCCTGGTATCATTGTACAAACTGTATATTCTATTTTATAGAAGCTAGATGCAGAATGAAACAAACAAACAAACAAACAAACAAACAAAAAAGAAGCTAGGGAGTTCTACTTACAGCAGGACCCGAGTCTCCAGTGCGACCACGAGGTCCAGGGGGTCCGATGGGTCCTGGTAAGCCATTTGAACCATCTTTTCCAGCAGGACCAACAGGTCCAGGTGGTCCCTATAAAGGAAGATAATCCTTATCCCAACATTTAACTAACATGGTGTTGCATTTAAACAGATGTTTTTTTTTTTTTTTCTGTCAACATATAATGTATCATTTTATATGTAAAATCTGAATAATTTGACATTTTTAATAGCAAAAGTTTCAGCTGAGTTTGTACTCACTCTTTGCCCAGATGGCCCAGCAGGTCCAGTGGCACCCTGGTCTCCAGGCTGACCCTAATGCAGAAAAGAGGCAAGAAATTATACCATGAGTATAAATAAAGGTAGAGTTTGATACAAAATGTAGGATAAAATGGGGATTCCTACAGGTGGTCCAGGAAGACCCTGCAGACCAGTGAAACCTCTGTGTCCCTTCTGTCCTCGCTCACCGGCCTCTCCACCTTCACCCTTATCGCCACGTGGTCCTTGCGGTCCCTAAGAACAATGAAAAACACCCTAATTATTATACCACAAGGTTTCATTTCAGTTCACAGTGGATCATAGTCCAACCATGTAGGATACATACAGGCATTCCTCTGGCACCAGCTGGTCCTGGAGGTCCAGATGGTCCTTGAGCACCCTAACGAACAAAAGAAATGGTAAAGAGATTTTTCTACTACCACTTAATCATGTTTAGCATAGCTAAGTATTTTCTACAACACACTTGATAACTCATTAGGTTTAAAATATTAAATTCACACAGTCCTTATTATGTAAATTAGAAAAGCGATTAGAACAAATATTTGAGATATCTGCCAATGATAAATTATCCTGCTACCCTCCATCAGATATGTTAATCTTAACTTGGCAAAAAATTATATAAACATCAATACTACAATGGAAAAAAAAACAACAAAAAAACAAGAGCTTGTTTTTGATTCATTACTTACAGACTCCCCTCTGTTTCCCTGTTTCCCAGTAGGACCGACTGGCCCAGGAGCACCAGGAGCACCTGGTGCACCAGGTGCGCCAGCAGGACCAGTGTTGCCACGGTCACCCTGCAGCAAAAAGGGTTCACGTTGCAAAACACAACAGAGGGATGAAAAGAAACAAAACATTTATTAGTCAAGTAAAAAAAAAAGAGTTTTTTTTTTTTAATTTCCTCGTTTAAAAATGGTAAAAAGGGATAAAAGTATTAATTAGAAAACCATTACTGCATAAAAAATCTCCAAAGAGAACATGTTTCTTGCCTTTCACATAAATGCAATTTGGACTCCTCCCTCTCGCTAACATTTTATTGTAGTACAATCAATATCCAATAAAAAGCCCTACATAGTAACAGCTTTTCTCTATGGTATAAACGCCATTATCAGCAGGACGTCATTGTATCTTTCACAAATTGCCAAGGAATGACCCAAAGAAGATGAGAGAGGTAAAGTGTTCCTCTGACTCCTTAGGTTCGAATATAATGGCCACATTCTAAAGAGACTGAAGGTTCCTTTAGCAGAATCCCACATTTTCTTTGTTTTTTCCCCCCCTGAATAAATCAGACAATGACAATGATAGGTGTGTATTTAATTACAATGTAATGGCCGAAACAAATGTTTGACTCGTTACAATTCATGTTTTCTACCTTAATTCCAGGAGAACCATCTCTACCAGGAGGTCCATCAGATCCAGGGTTGCCCTGTTAGAGAAAATTAAAGTGTTAATAGATTCAGACCAGGTGTCCTGAATAATTATCAGCTGCATAATCAGCCCGGCTATAATCGCACCTAATAATAGGACATAATGCAAATGTATGAGTGCTGAAAACTGAGGGGACATTCAAAGGCTCATTACTGATTTTACTTTTTTTTTAAAACTGTATGTTGTAAGGTAGGAATTTAAATCCTGTAGTTTTTTTGTCTTTTGGCCTAATTTAACTCTGGAACTTTTAAAAGGATTTTTGAAACTTTGATCCACCATTCAAAAGTAACAAAAATGTTTTTGGACATAAAAAACAGCAAACATAAACATCAGCGAACCTATTCAAGTTGGTGGGTTGCTTTCTTATCAGATTGCATTTTCTTTTTGTTAAGAGGAGACTTAATAAGATTCCAGTTCCAGATCACAAGTCAGGCCTATGGTTTTTCTAACGTGTTTTACATAATTTGGAGTCTGAAACTACAGTGTGGATTTCTGATCTGATCCAACGCATGCTCTAGGGTAGTTAGTTTTTCTGACCTCTCTGCCAGGCTCTCCAGCAGGTCCAGTAAGCCCAGGTGGTCCGACGGGTCCAGGGGGTCCACGGTCTCCAGGACCACCAGAAGCTCCCTGCTTTCCAGGCTCCCCCTAAGAGGAATAAGAAGAACTCTTTATATTAACAAAATGTCGTTTATGGTAAATGTTAAACAACTAAAGAACTCATTGATTTGCAAGTATTTCAGCTTCTGCTTTTTTTATTCTAATATCAATAAAAAAAAAATAATGAAATGAAGCTAAAAACCTTTCCCAGACTAAATAATTTTTACTTCAAAATGCTTTCATGTTCTTGCTTTTGGTGGAATAATAAAAAAATAAAATAAAATACTACTTAGAACTTTGACCTTATTTTAGGTCCATGTTAATAACCCTTAATTTACGGCCCAACAAACATTGTTTTTTAGTAACATTCGATCCCTTCAGGTTTCCCACTGTTCCAAAAAAGGAACAACATCCATTACAGTAAGATTAGTGAAAATACTCAAATCATTCTGCTTTTGGGACAAAACATTCTAAAACATCCATCCATCCATTTCCCTTCACGCTTCTCCCTGCTGGGGTTGCATGGGTTGCTGGTACCTATCTTTAGCTGTCAATGGGAGAGAGACAGGGTACACCCTGGATAGGTCGCCAGCCTATCGCAGGGCAACACAGAGATAAAGACAAACAACCATTCACGCACACAATTTAGAGAAGCCAATTAACCTAACAGTCATGTTTTTGGACTGGGAGGAAGCCGGAGAAAACCCATGCATGTACAGGGAGACCATGCAAACTCCATGCAGAGAGACCCTGGGCTGGGAATCGAACCCGGAACATTCTTTCTGCAAAAGCAGCAGTGCTACCAAATGTTTCACTGAGCAGCCCACGTCCATAAAAATAGTAATCAATCCATAACCACATGGAAATTACAGTTTTGTATTAAATCTGTATGAAAGGTAGTTTTTGGAGCACACTGAATGAATGTAATGCAATTGATGCAACTGCTTTTCCTTAGATAGAAAACTTTGAAACAATTTGACTCTATGATCTGGTGAACTGTAAAGTGCCTTGAGATGACATGTGTTGTTAATTGGCGCTACATAAATAAACTGAATTGAATTGAAATTAATAGAAAAGAAAATGTAGTATTATCCAGATCTACTGAACGAACCTGAAGAACACAATTCTGTCAGTTAAAAGCTCATTCTTTGCTGAGTTAATTCTCATTTACTGGAATCTCATTCATGCACACAAGTGAATAATTAATGGTGAGGACATGCCTGCTGAGATGCTGAAAGTAGGGGAAATGGTTCATGTCATATATCAAAAAGAGTTGGTTGTAAGCAGGGGAGGCTCTTCAGTCACATGTCACAGATTAATCTCCATCAGATAGATACAATAGGAAAAAAAGCATGAGTTTGATGTGACACGGGTTCCACCCTGATAAAATAGGACACTGCTGATTGTCAGTCCAGAGCACTTCTGTTGATTTAATGAGTGTCAAAACAGTTAGTATGTAGCTCATATGGCAGATGCAGTCATATTTATTAAGAGTCCTGATGGAAGGGTTGGTGCCTCTGAGTCCTTATCAAAATTTTATTCCATTTTTTTGAGACATACACTCTCCTCTCTGCGCTTCTGTTAAAACGTTTACATTTCTTTTGAAGATACTTTTATTTCTATTTAAAAGGCCGATTTGTTCACAACGGTGAAAGAATCAAGCTGAAGTCTCAATGAGGGCTGAGTGGGTTGATGGCTGCTCTTTGATCTAAGAAAGGACAATAAACATCCTGTATTCAGAGGAATTAAGGCTCCAAATATTTGAGCCCATTTAAACATTAGTTTTCATTATTTCTTTGTAAGGAAAAGAACCTTATTTCCTTCGCAGACAAGTTACAAACCATTTTATATTTCACTCGAAACCATGTTTTCTAAGTAATACTTGTTGCCTCAGATAACTGAATCAGTTAATGTTGATAATTTTTTTTCCTGTATTATAAATTAATCAGAATTAGAAGGCAGGGCAAAAGAAAACACGTTTAAATTTTTATTTTCATTGTATTTTGTTTCAAAATTTGAGTTTGATCAGCTAAATAAACTTTAACCCCTTTACCTTTCCTATAAACATCCTCAGGTTTAACTTTATAGTCATAAAAATATTACTTACAATTAAATAGGTATTGTGTTACTACTTATGGATAAATTGGTATGTCACTTAGATTTCCTGGTTTTGGCTCTAAAATTAAATCATACAATAATGTGCAACCCTGTGTTATTTTTCAACTAATAATATAGTTCTACTATCTTATTTTTTTATTTGTTGATAATAAATGTGTTACAGTTTACACAGATATTTTATGAGATGTAATTAAGCTCCTGAATATATGGAAATATTGAGATGTTTGGTTTGATTTGACTAAAATCTTAACTTTTTACATTTATAACTATATTGTATAAACAAAATTAAAGTTAATATGTTATTTGATGACATTAGTGATTATATTTCTTGACTGAAATTAGCATTCTGAATTACTACTCTATGATAAATATTCAAATTCTATTAATATTTTTTGCATAAGCTTATTGAATGAATGATGTCTTTAAATGTGTGTGTTTGGAGATGTGATTTCATGTTACTTACAGAAGGTCCGGGGAGACCAGGGAAACCTCTTTCTCCTCTCTGCCCAGGCAGACCAACAATACCACGCTGACCAGCCAATCCCTGCGGACCTGAGGGACCCAGTGGACCCTAAGAGGAAGATAAAGCCAGCAGAAAGCACATACAGTACCATGAGTCATCTCAAAAGGTTTAAAACCATGCAGTCATTATTTCTGCTAATAAGTCACTTCCTAGATAAGTGATAGTTGAATATCTTCGTCACTATAGGACCAACATTTTATTCTCACTTGCACTTCAAAATCTTTCTGGTCTACATCATTCTCAGCTTCGGAGGTCTCTCTGTCAAAATGTCTTCCAACAGAAGTTATGTTCAAAAAGGTGAACCCCTGAATTTAAGTGACAGCTGAGACACACCGTTCAGCACATAAAGCCTTGGATGTGCTAATACTGACTCAGGATTTCATATACAGGATGAAATCTTTAGGAAGAAATGGACTCAATACAGCTCCTTTTTGTTTGAGCCCCTTGCCACCACCCCCACCCCAGGGACTCAACCTGTCATTATCTTGACAGAACTCGTCAGCATAACTGCTGGTTATGTGTGTCGGTGCAATTCCGAGGTAAAAGCCTAGGGTCCCATCCTCACACTGTCACCAGATTCTGCTGAATTCTGGAGTCCTGATGGACAATGACAGCTTTTGTGTGTTTATGGTCTGCATGTGTATTACTGCTAAAATAAGCTGTCTGGCTTAAAAGGAAAACACAACACTGACTCAAGATGCAGCATACAAATAAATCTAAGCATTTCTTCTCTTTAGCCTCACTTTAAATCACACACCTACTGCATCAGAATAGAATATGGGAGCTACAGGAACCATAATGCTGTTTTCAGCATAACAAGGTCATATATTTCTAGATTAGGGAATAGGCCTTTTAGACCAGACTCACAGGGGGTCCATCCTCTCCAGCGTCTCCCTTCTCTCCTGGAGCTCCTGCAGGTCCCCGTAGTCCAGGATCACCCTGTCTGCCTGGAGGTCCACCATCTCCTCTCACACCTTTTGGTCCATCTTTACCAGGAGAGCCAGCAGGACCTGGGGGTCCAGGGTTGCCCTAAGAGGCGTTTGAATAAAATGTGTAAGAAAATAACCATCATGAGCATACATTCTACCACATCTCCATTTGAAGGGTCCAGATAGTGGAAAGAAAGCAGTTGTTTTTAACATTATGGTATAGCTAAATAATTTAAAAACACATTATTATAAAAAAAAAAGTCTTGCTGTTGTGAAAAAAGAAAATAGCTCCTGAAATGGATGTGGGTGTCGGATCATTGGGGTTAAATGCTTTACAGCTACTTCCTAACAGAACAACAAAACAGGATAAGAAAATTAATTTACTATTCTCTTTGCCTGAAGATCACATTTTAGACTTCTCGTAAACTGACAGTAAAAATCTATTTTCCTTTGTTTGATTTCACAAAATAAATATCAAACTTTATGAACTGAACACACAAACGGAGAAATGATGGACAACATCACTGACAGACAAGCTTTCCTCTTTCTTTAAACATGTGTGCTGCACCTGACAAGGTGAGACTTCAGCCCTATTGTCAGTGCATAAGGCTAATGCAACTTAGGAGACTCAGGAGATCAATTCAGTTTCAACAAATATTAAGATATTTATGTTTTTATTTCTTCGAGATTAGAATTTTGCAACTTTTTACTTTTCTGAGTCAACAAATTTTACAGAAACTGCAGTTTAAATGGGATCTTCTTATAGAAGCCATGAAGAAAGAAACAATTTAGCCATTCATTAATTGGCCAATGGGTAAATAAAATGTGATTCTGTTTATTCTAATGAGTTTGATGACCAACTTATCAACATGTACCATAGATATCTAAACATATGGCCCTGACTTAAACCTGGTGTTCTCTGCGAAAGCTTTAGTCTTATAAAAAAGTCATCATTTTGTCATTTTAATCCCTCTTAAAGGTATCACTTTATTACACAATTTTTTGATAAAAGCTGCTTTGGATAGCATTAGCTCTGTTAAATATTTCGGTACCTTTAATAATTTTGTATTCTATTTTAATTACTAGTTTCCATTTCCACGTTATACCACGCCTGCTGCCATGCTCTTCACACTCCTGGGGTGTCATTTTTTTTCTTGCTTGTTTTACTTATTCTCTTCTCTCTGTTGTTCTACTTGATGTCAACTCTTTTAGAAGTAATGTTATAAATAATGCCATTTCTTTTCTAAACTAAAAACAAGTGTTAAACTAGTATTGTGGTAAAGTGACCTAAACCATGGACTTACATTGGGGCCAGGAGGTCCAACTCGCCCAGCAGCTCCAGGGAAACCAGTGGCACCCTAACAGAACATTCATTTAAGGACAAATCAGAATGTTAGTCACAAAATTATGCTTCTAACATGTGTGAGCATCAGGCAGAAGAGAAAACACAAACAAAAATAAAAATGTTTTCAGAAATACACTTACAGGGGGACCCTGAGCACCACGAGCACCTTTTGGTCCAGAAACTCCAGTAGGACCCTGAAAAAAAAGAAGCTCTAAATCAGAATCTGACCTTTGTATTTTTTATTTTTTTTTGTAGTATTGTTTGCCTCAACTACTATTCTTCTGGCTGGTGAAGCAAAATCCTTTACAAGGTCAGCCGTCACCCTGACATGCTGTTTGCCGTCTATGAATGTCAACAAATGGATAAAAAAAAAGGTTCCTGCTGGATCAGTGCACACATTGTCCCTGAGGAAGTGACTTTGTTGGTGAATATTGTTCAAGTCTACCAAGACAGACAATTCCCAACTGCAGCCATACAGCATTTTAAATGACATCTTTATTTTTCTACTTCTGAGCAAAGCTAAATGATGCAGATTATTAATTAGGTTAATAAAAACACGTACTGCGGGTCCAGGGGCACCGGATGGTCCTTGTGGTCCAGGTGCACCAGCATCTCCTTTCTGTCCAGCTTCTCCTTGCTCTCCCTTAATTCCAGGCTGACCATCAGCCCCCTGGGAATAAATACAAGGATGTGGATATTTTTAATTGTTTGTCTCTCACTCAGCTTTTTCTAAACATCCCTTAAAGGATCCTTTTATTCTGTCTGACTTTTTCTTTATGCATGTCCGATACAAGATTGATTTTAGAGAACAATAGCAAAATACTGTTCATAATTATACCATTTTAATTCCATTGATTATTTCAAGTTAGTGAAAATATTTAGTAGTCACTAAAAGCTATGTCAGCTTTTTTAACATGATGCTAAAGTGAAAGAAATGACAAATAAATGGCTTTCAAACATTTTCAAAAGTAATACTATTTAACAGTATGGTCCTTATTTATGTTCAGAGTCCACATAATTTATTTAAAGACATAATTTATTTGTCTATTTTTTAATTGCAAAAAGTTCCCACAGAATGGATGAGGGCTGGCTATGAACATGACATTTAAATCTAACCGTAGATTCCCGGTAACGGTATGGGTCTTGATTTTGAAAGGACCCTTCTGGCACAAACAAATGCTTTGGTAGAAATAATTCTGTAAGCCAGTGATTTCCAACTAGGGGTACACACACCCCTAGTGGTCCGTGAGTGCATTGCAAGGGGTACATGACAATATTTTACTTCCTAGGGAACAAAATAGGGTTGGGATACTGTATGCTTTGCTTTGTGAGGACCCAATTGAAAAATATTAAAAGCTTTATCAACCAAAGTAAGTTCTACGTATAAATTAAAGTTCACCTTCAGCTTTGACACATCAAAACCAAGCAGAGGAACAAACTGGATGTAGAGAACAGCGGGGTATCAGCTGTTTTCCACACTAAGCTCATCAAAGCAGCTAATTGGTAAAACTAATTAAGTGATTATAATTGACTGTAATTTTTGTTCTGTATTTTGTTCCCAGTTCCTCAAGTTAAAATGTGATTATAAGAAAGTTAGTCAGAGGAGCTTTCCATTTAAGATGGACAGCATAAAAGGCCTAAGAATTTAATGCTTAAATTAAAAGATTAAGTAAAATAGTTTAATATTTTTAATAATCAGTTATTGTTCGTTCCACTTTTGGACAATCATCAGTACTTTTGACTGAGAGGAGAAATTAATGGTAAGTCAAAAAAGGTTGGGTAACGCTGCTCTAAGTGATGGTTGTATGATTTATGCTCATTGTTCTGCTAGAAGAGGACCTTCTGTCCAAGAGTTTAATCTTTAAGTCTAAAGATTGCCAACACCATTTTCACAGAGGAGATGGTGTTTTCAGGACAAGGTGAGAGGTTTTCTGCCACACCTCTTCATATGTGGGCTGGAACGGATAACTTTTGGTCTCATCTTACCAGAGTATTTCCTCTTACGTTCATGTTTATGGTGTCTACACGGTGTCAAACTTCTTATCGTTTAAACAGCAGCCTTCTTTTTTTTCATTTTTCAATAAAGGCCATATTTGGAAAATATATAACTAAGCTGTTGATCTGCCTTGTAGCTCAGGTTCTCAGTTACGTCTAGGAGGGTTTCCAGATATACAAGAGTCTTTACATTTTTGGACGATAGGCTTTAGAGCGCATAAATCTTAGAGGATAGCTTGTATTGGTCTATTGCGTAAACTCCATACAAAACGCATTAAGGTTCCTGGCATTTAGGTAATAAAACAGGAGACAGCTCAAGTGGATCAATCTTTTTGCAAGGCCCCGTGAGGACAGCAGGAGATGTCTTTCTTTAGCATTTTTTTTTGATAGGAACTTGATTAGAAATCTACAGTAGCAGCTTCTAGAGTAAAACTGACACAAGCTTTGAAATAGCTGCGGAAGATCTTGTTGTTTATTTTCAGTTGTTCAGGTGAAAGGCTGTGATGTTAAAGTATGTAAACTGTGAAGTGAGAATATTTACAGGCCTTGCAATGGTATTTAGCCTGACATAAAATCGATATTTAATCATAGTTGTATTCAGCAGGGGAAAAAAAAACCTTGAGATGAATGTTGTTCTAACAAATGCGCTGATTTAATTAATTTGGAAGAAAGTCGCTTATGAAAACAATTCATCTGATTTCTGTCCAGAGTATCAAAATAAAGAAATGACAGAATTCCTGACTTTTGACAGCCCTCCAACTCATATCTCTCCAAGTAATTATACAGTAAGGACAAAGAAAGAGTAATTTAATTTGAGGAAAAGATTGACAAAGGCAGCTTCATATTTGAGTGTTTTCAGATAGTGTCAACAAAAGAGAAAAGATGTGTCAGCTTGATGTCATGGTATAATTAGAAGTCTGTCCCTATTTGATGGAAAATAAGTTAATAAAGTCTTATTTCAATAGGATTAAAAATGCTACATTATTTTGTATTTTTTTTCTTAACACAGGGAAATAAAAAAAATGACTAAAGTAATTTTGTAGCCTGCTTTAATACTGCGGATCATAAGGTTTTAGGGAAAGGTTTCTACTTGGTGCATTAGTATATATGTGCAGGTTAATACATATAGAAAATCTTTCAAAGTTTCTTTTAAATCACTTTTTAAAATAAAGGCTAATACATTGGTAAATGACCCACATTCAACTGTGTTCCAGATAATTTAGTTAAGAAAATTAAGTTATCTATTTTTTTGCTTAAGAATATCCCCTAAAGCCTGATTATTTAAAATGTTTTGTTTCATCTCCTCAATAGTTGGCTTAGTAATGCATAACTAACAGTAAATGTGATTTTATTAATAAGCAGGGTTGATTACAATTTGCATTGCTTTTTGTGGAAATAGGATGTATAATCGCAATAAAAACGTATAGAAATAGAACACAGTGTTCATTTAGTATCTCACTCTCAGTATCTCTGTGTATTTTTTGTCCTATTCATTTTTGTTAATAAGCATTGATTCCACTCCACTGTTGCCACATACCTTTTAAGCTCAAAGAGCACAGGCGCTGCAAAATCAATGATTCAATGCATTTAGCCGGACCTTCTCCTATAGATACCGGTAACTTATGGTAAATAATATCTGGTAATATTCAAATAAAGTTTAGACTGATCACAACTAGATGTAACACCAACTGTGATTTTTTTACTAATTTGAAATCAGGTTGAGTCTAAAAGCTATGTACTGTATATAGGGAAAACATTTTCTTGAATTTCTTAAGCTGTAAATACACTTGTAAGAGAGTTAAAGACAAATTTAATTAAACTGAAAATAGGAAGAGCTTTTTATAGCAACCTGGTTTCAGTAATGATGAACATAGTTGTGTGTTTATATTTGCAACCCTTGTATGATCGGTTTGCACCTAGAGGGGTGCTTAAGCTCATTATGATCTTACAAACATCCTAAATCAGGAGTTTGGGCAGCTTTTTTCAGGTGAAACTACAAGGTGTCAAACTGCACATGATTAGGTGTAAAATAATTTACCATCAAAATGTCAAAAAATATTAAACCAAATAGAAGCTTTCTTAGTGGACTGTATGTATTGTGGATAGATTTATGTAAAAGATTCTCCATATGGAAAGGTCAACTATATAATTGTTATCTTTTTTTTAGGTTTTATACTAAGACATTAGTGCTGACACCTGCTATATATGTGAAGTAATGAACCTAATTTTCTTAATTCAAACTAGTCCCAATTAACTTAATAATGACATTAAATAATCAGCATGTTCCTATTCAGTATTATTATTCAGTTGTTAACTTTATTTATTTTAACTGTATGTTGAGTGTTAGCACCAAATGATTAAAAAAAGGATGTCTGATGTGTCGTTCGGTGATTAGAGTGGCATCAGGTAGAGCGTCTAACATTTTCTAAGCAGTCATAAAACATAATAAAATCTATGGGGAACAAGAAGCAAGGCGATAAATGGAAAATCTATCCTGAGTGCTGGTTATCTTTAGGCCCTCAGGCAGCACTGCAGCACAAACAAAACAATCCTGCCCATGGAAAGCACATCAGACTTCAGGAGCTTCTCAAGGCAGTAACTCAGAGCTTCCTCCAGTAAAATAAAGCAGCTAAAATATCCAAGATGGTGAGATGCTAATATAAAATGCCTCAAGTGTTTCATGGAATAAAAGTTTCTTTTGAGATTATGGACTCTGTATCTTGACATTGTTTTTTTTTATTGTTCATTTTTCACATCTTCAGCATTGGCTGTTGTTAAACTGCTTTATAATAAAATTGTTGTTTGTGATGATGATGATGATGGTGGAAAACTAATCAAAACAAAAACAAAGGTAACAGCATCCTTTATAACTGACCAAAATCAACCCATTTAAAATATATAAATATAAAATATATAGCTTTTTATTCTTACTAACTTTTACACTTTAAATGTCACATATACATTTTTTTTGTGGAAATTTAGAAAAAGATCTGTTTCAGTATTCTGCCCATAAAGCTTCTAATATGCTGGAATTAACCCAACTATCGCCCAGATGGCATTAATCGCCCAATTTAACGCGAATTGTGAGGCTAACTTTTAAAGTTGTGAAAGCACCACTAATGCGAAACTGTCACTACAATATCTGTTAGTTGTAGTTTAATGTATTTTAGTCAGAAAACTCTGGACATAAAAGAACATTGAGATGATGTTGAAAACATCAGATTCTGAAGACAGTAATTCTTATTGCCACATTGTCAGACAGGACACCACAAAACAAAGAAAGCATCAAAGTGTCTACACTGACCTGCCTTCCGTTCCTACATAATTATATCAAAGTGGGAACATTTCACACTTAGAATTAGTTTTTGATTTTTCTTGCTCCCAAACATTAGATCTTTGTATTATTAACACAAATAGAAATAATTTCTACACTCACTTAAAGCCTAGCACTTAAAGTTATTTAACAGTTGTCCTGTAATATATCCTTTTTCAATTGTAGTTTTGAGTTCGTAAGTAACATTTTTCAGCAAAAGTAAATAATAAGATGGTCTTATTTGTGTTTTGAATCAAACTTACAGGAGCTCCAGCAAACCCAGCAGGCCCAGGAGGTCCAGTCTCTCCCCTGTCACCCTGAAAGCAAAAATTAAGAACACTTTACATTATCCGGATATACAACGCTAAAAAGTACTAGATTTTGGAAAGAGGCCCCGGACAGTTGATTTACTATCTCTTTAATATTATTTAATACAATCATCATAAATTATGACTCTTAATAATTATTTTTGTTAAATGTCTATAATGAGGGTCTTTTTATTCAGATTAAAACATCTGAAGCTAAACAACTAAATAACACTCACAGGTGCACCACGAACACCAGCAGGCCCGGATGGTCCAGCAGGTCCAGATTCACCCTACACGAATCACAAAACCATCACCAGGAGAACACATTTCATGCAGTCAGTGATTGATTTCAGCGATGAAACGCCCTAACTATATATTTTTGTGTGTTTTTTACTCACCTTCTCACCATTTGGACCAGCTGGACCAGGAGGACCAATTGGACCAGTAAGACCCTATAAAGTAGATGGAGGAAAAAAATTTAATCAGTAACACTGTGATCTCAGAAAAAAAAAGACGGATGTTGCTTTTAACAATGTTTTCTTTAATATTTCTTTTTTTTTTTTATTCCAAAAAGTTTAAATAAGTGACACTCCCGTACTCTAGCACCATCTTTGCCGGAAGCACCTTCAGGCCCTTTCTCTCCAACATCACCCTGCAGGGAGTAAAGGTTTGAAAAGAAACAGTCAGTCACCTGTCATAGAAATAGCATCAAAAACATGGTGCAGGTCTAAATATATATGTTTTATTTTTTAATCCATAATCCAATCCCAGCTTACTCTGTCTCCTTTGGGTCCAGGAATGCCTGCAGCACCTCTCTCTCCTGGCATTCCCTGGAGGCCGGGTGGTCCCTGAGCTCCTGGACCACCAGCAGGTCCAATGGCTCCCTGATAAAGATTGTAGATTAAAGCAGATGGCTCAGTGCACCTTCAGCATTGAGATAAGATTCTGTTGAATAACTCTCTGAAAGCTTCAGCAGCAGGTGTTTACATCTAATTAAAAATGAGACCTCCGCTTTCAGACACATTTCCGATTGTTTTTGCTAAAACCTTTCATTGGTTTGGAGATACGCAAAGAGAAACAATGGTGATGCCTGGGAGAAAAAAAAACATGACTGTCCAACAAAGGACCAAACTCTTTTTTTTTTTGAGGTTTTACCGCATTTTTTCAACAGTAGGCTTACAGGAAAGGGGGTATGAGGGAGGGGGAGAGACATGCGGCAAAGACCACTGTTCCGATCCCGGGTCAGCCACGTTGAGGGCTAAGGCCTCTGCACATGGGTCATGTGCACTAACCACTGTACCACCTGCATGCCCAAAGGACCAAACTCTACTCTGATCTGGTTCTTTTTATTCATGGCTATCAGAGTACTGACAAAATAATTGCATTTGATCCAAATCACGCCAAGGTAGAAGGGATTCTTTTCAGGGTTAAAAATAAAGTAATTTTTATATAGGTCAACTTTATTGCTGTTTTAGCAGAAGGATTATTTTGTCAGGATAAGCTCTATTCAACAGATCAAAGCCAAACCTAAAAATTAAAGTAAACTTAGTCTTTGATTTTCTGAAGTGGCTGCATCAGGTCCACTCCTGATCAAAACTGATTGTTCTGCAGCTTCAGATGCAGACAGCATCTCTATTCTATCTGATGGGGTTAGGGCTGAGAGGATGGCTCTCACTACAGTAATGTTTCCTGTGGGTACCTTCAAGCTACTGTTTATTCAAGGCCAAGTGGTTGACGTATAGAGCAGAGAGGCTTGTGCAATAAATCTGCTGCTTTTTTTTAATACCACCTACAGAATGTCTGTTCTCCCCACCCCCCACCCCCATCTCCATCATCACACTCATGCTGGCTCTAATCCTCATCCTCTTTATCCGCTCCTGTCTGACCTCACAGGAAGAAAATCTATAAACTGGGATTAAAATCTGATCTGAAAATAAACTAAAAGATAGATAACTGCTATTGCTGTGAGCTCTTTCTAACCTTAATGCACTAGTAGCAAACTGCTGCCGTCAAGTAACTTGAAAAAGATATAAAAATTTATGTTTTAGTTTAAATATTTACTAATAAATATTAATTTATTCCTGAATTTATAGGAAGAAAATAATGAAAGCTGGTAGTTTTGGATAGTGCATATGGTGGTAAATAAAATGTCAGGGAAAGGGAATGATTTATTCATTCAAGAACTAAATCAATCCTGTTTTGCACATTTGATGGATTGGAACTTAAAAGTCCTTTATCCGTAAAACAGTTTTTGCTTGTGTTAAAAACTATGCAGCTTTGATGCTTTGTCAAACTCAATTCTGATTATTTTTTGACTCTATAGGCAAAGAAGAAAGTGAATAAAAAAAAAAGTTAATCACAAATCTATAAGCTATAATTTAAGAAAGAGCTGACACTGAGTCACTATGGCACCGCAGAGTTAATTCCCTTTTCTGAAATGAAAAGCTTGTCACCAGGAGGACAGAATGGGAGTGCTGTTTCATGACCCAGAGGTAATCTAGACTTCCATTAGACTGTCATCTTCTGACAAATCACCAGACAATTAAGATCAAGATTGGGATAAACTCCTCCTTTAGCCGCTTTTTTAGGGAATCACTAAAAATCAAATAAAAGAGGTAATAAGTCAGTCAATCATCTCCTCAGATTGCTCTGTGTCTGTTGTTATGAGCAATAAAGATACTTAATAAGATGTGCCAGCTGCATAGGTACACACAATCCAAGCCTATATACTTAAAACAATCATCTGCTGAACTGACCTTGGGTCCATCAGTTCCAGGAGTTCCAGGTAGGCCTCTGGGACCCTGCAAACCCTGGGCACCAGCAGCTCCTCTCTCTCCAGGAAAACCACGCTCTCCCTGAAAAGGAACACACCAACATTTGAACTACTGTAACATCAGTGACACACAGAGAAATAAACTGTTGACCAGAAACACCTTGAGCTGTTTTCTAGTAGGATACAACTAAAAACTAAACGTTTTTTTTTCTGATCAGAACAATCCTAAGTACACACTCTTTAGTTTCATGTTAGTGAGCGAGAAACACTCTGTTAGCTATTTCTAGTATTAGGTAGGTGTTTATAAATGATCTAAGAACAGAGATGTAAGACTCGGTTAAAAAAAAACAAATAATTTCCTGCAACAGTCTCTTTTTTTAGAACAGCTGAATAAAACAAAGTTTACGGTTTAAATCAAAGGGTCTTACTCTGGGTCCAGTAGCACCAGCAGCTCCAGCCTCTCCTGGAACGCCCTTAAAAGACAAACAGTGTAAAGTTAACAGAGGAACAGGTGGTGTAATTAGAAGAGAGTAAGCATTGAGAAAATTAGCTTTTTGATTTACTTAGACTAAATAGTTAAACAGAGAAAAGATTGGAGTTTAAGATTATGTTAATGTTGTTAATAATTTGACAGAATTTCCTTGATCATTTTAAAATACACAACAATGAAAAAGTGATAAATTGGTTTCTTTTTTTTTGCCTTATAATTTCAAACATTGTTAATCAGAACCTGGTCATAGTGAGTGTATCTTAAGTATCTGACACGGCAGAACTTTCTTTAAGCTCATGACAGAAAAGCAAGCATGCTTTTCCTCCTGACACGATAGTTTACATATATCAGAATCAGAAATACTTTAATAATCCCAGAGGGAAATTACTTTCGTTACAAGCCCAGTTACAGTTATATATATATATATATATATATATATATATATATATATATATATATATACACATCCAACTACACAAGATAATAAAGATAAAAAAAAGAATAAAAAAGAGAAAGAGAAGGTATGGGCAGCAGCCATCTACTTTTTTGGCTACAGGAAAAAATAACTTAAAACTGAGCAAAAAAAATAAAACCCTAAAATGCAGAGAAAAAACACAATTTTTGCGAGGTAGTCTTTGGCTTCCCAAAGCCTTTTGCCTTTAACTAATTGCCGAATAGAAATTTCTAAACTTTCTATTTATTTAAAAAAATAACCGAAATGTAAGTATATTATAAATGTGTAACATTTATCACAATCACTGTTAACACACACGTTAGGCCCAGTTGTAGCAGAAACAAAAGCTTGCTAAGGGTTCCTAAGTCCACAATGGATTTTTATTAACTGCACATCTTGTACATAATAAAAAAGGGTTTGTGGCAAATTTACAACAATGGGAGTCAATGGGTTAAAATGCTGCAGGAAGGTAAAAAACTGACCTGTGTGTAAACTAATAGTGGCAACTTGTGAGGAAACAGTAAGTTAACAGGTATCTAGGTCTTGTTTTTATTTAGATATAGGCTAGTGTTAGCACTGCAGCATAGTTAGCTGCATCAGGCATCTGGAAGTTGTGCAATTTAAGACTAGCAAAAAAGTTCCGTTTTTTTTTTCTGTGTCAACTGTCAAATGTTATTGGAAGTAGATTCTTGAGCACTGTTTACGGTATTATTCACCACTAATCGGCTTTGTTAAGTCTACATATCAATCAAAACACATGTTCACTCATGCCATACAACTGAATATGCAAACGCACACACACACGATACACACATTTTCCCCCACAAAGCTTATTATCCTATGCCACAGGTTACTGTGTAAAGTTTTATTGCATATGTCATCAAAAAAATTGCACCTACCTGGTCTCCAGGTTTGCCTCCTTCACCAGGAGGGCCAGGGGGTCCGGGGAGACCCTGTGCACAAAATGGAAATACTGCTGAATCAGCACTTTTGTATGCATACAAATAAACAACAAAACAAATAAAATATGTTGCATGTCTCTTTAGCTCCACAAACATCTGATCTTAAATAAGTTTCAGTGGTTTTTCTTCTACATAGCTTTGGGAATGTTATACAGAAATGTATGGCCATTTACACCAAAAATAAAACAGATCAAATAATCATAACAAATTCGATAGTCATGATGAGGTAGTAAAAAATTGTACTTTATGGTTAAGGCTTAAAAAAAGTTAAATTCTGACTTTAGATTTAGAAACGGGTAAAAGCAGACAGACTAACCTGGAAACCGGAGGGACCGGGCTGTCCTTGCTCTCCTCTCTCCCCAGCAGGGCCCTGAACACGAATTCATTATTCATTCATTTTTACTTTTTACAATCCAGATAATTTAATGTAGATCATGTAGACTTTAATGTATAAGATGATGTAAAAAATAAAGTTGCTACTCCCTTAAACATGGATGGTCAAAGAAATGTTTTTTAAGGTGAAATACATTTTGTTGCCTTGAAAATTACCCGTTTAGGTGGATTTATGTTCAGTAAATCAGTTTGCCATCACGTAATGCTAAAACATTAAGCGTCACAGATTCTTTGTTCCAGACAGTGCTACTGTAGAGTCAGGCAGGGGAAACTGAGATACTGAAGGGTGCTTCCAAATACCATCAGTGTTGAAGCAGTAGTGAGTCAGATAGGGGAGATTAAGTTACATACAGCAGGGCCAGGGGGTCCAGCTGCACCCGTTTCTCCATCCTTTCCAGGCAGACCCTGAAGAGAAAGTCCATATAGATATGAGTTCATTGAAAGCCAAAGGGGAGGTTATTAACTGACAGACATCTTGGAGATATAACTGAGCTTTTTTGGCAAAAGAAGATCTTTGAAATGTTTCTTTTAAATAATGTGGGGATGGAGTTTAAATACACAACTTCATTCAGTATAAAGGCCGAGCTCTAAACTGCTTATCTAAAAATTGTTGTGTTGAAAGCCGTTTTCTATAAATAATAATTCCTTCAAACTTATTTTCTGTAACAGAAATTCTGATATGCACTTTAAAGTAAAAAAAAATACGACACATGAAACATGATTTGTTTCTAAAAATAAACCCAACAATACATTTTGATGTAATTTTGATTATTAAATGCAGGAGGAGACATCAACTTACTCTAAGACCAGGAGCTCCGGCCAGTCCTTTCTCACCAGATTTTCCAGGTTCACCCTAAAAACAACAAAAATATGAAATACCTGCAAATCAAAATGCCTCTGTGGCTACACTCAAAGCTGCACCTATTTTTAGAGGGGAGAGGGTGCATAGGTTTATGCAATGCAGGAAGGCAGATGGTACTAATCCAGTGTACAGTATGATTTTGTTTAAGGATTTTTTTTCATACAGCGCAAATAAAAAAAAATCTCTGTGCACTATGCTTATCAAAATATAATGATCTGATAAATTAGCTTGCCACATAGAGGACACTTTCAAGCTAAGAATAAAACAGAACAATAGAAATATCCTTTATTGTGCTGAAGTGGGTGAATTTAGCTTGTCAGCGACAAAGGTAACAGACAATAGAAGCTTAAAGGCAAACAAGATTATTAAATATAAAAGAGAACAAGCAACAAAAAGAAAAAACTAAAAGAAGCATAACAAAGGAAAAAATAAACATGCAATACTCACAGTTGCTCCCTTTGGTCCAGGAAATCCCATAACACCAGGCTGTCCTCTGGCTCCCTGAGGGCCAGGGGGTCCTGGACGTCCATCCTCACCAGGAGCTCCCTGGCAAATACAAAAAAAGTCAGAAACAATATGAGATGATGGTTAAAATGCTTTAAATGTGATAAAAAAAAAAGTTTAATGTTTTGCGCTGACAATGTTAGGACAGAATTAAAACAAAGTTGGAAAATGTCTGAGCTGAGTCAGAATTATTTGGTTGGGAGGTTTAATATACATTCTGTAGCAATAAATACTTTATAAGCAGGTGAATAATGGCTGTGTGCATTTCCTACAGCTATGATTGAATTGAATCCTGGCTGTTTTATATGAGATATTAAAAATAAAAGATACAACACATACGCCTACACTGTAGGCTTATATTGTTGCTTATGAAAATATATAAAACATTACATTTTGTTTCATTCCTTTGCAGATGATATTAACATCTGATTTGTAAAAAGAAAAAAACTAGCAGTTCCTTGCGTTTGTGGGGCTGCCTAAATAACTTTAAAGCATGTAAATTAAACCTTCTTTGTCTCTATTCTCATTTGGACAAACTGACTATTGCAGCTTTAAAAGAGCAGATCTTTGGGGAGATACTTTAAAGCCAGGGATGCATGATAATGAAATTCTGGCCCATATCTGATAAAATGATATTTTATAACTCGACTGGCTGATACTTTTTCCATAGACCTACTTACAGACCCTATACAGCTTTCTCCTCCCTATCCTTTGCAGGCATTGCAAGTAGCAGTTATATATATTTATATTTTACATAGCAGCTGTATATTTTTTGAACGGCAACAGCTCTTCTGTAACTCATGCATCAGTTGGGTGCATAAAACCTGCTGGGGCAGGCATAATCCTTTCTTGTTTGTCACAAAATCAACACTTCATATATCGGTGAGTTTTACTGGTGATGTCTGATACTTAGTTTTATTGCAAATATTGGACACATTTATGCAGCAGCGTGTAGATAATATCATGCATCCCTATTTAAAGATAATTTCAGCTTCTACCCTTCACCAGAACCATATCTTAGAAATTAAAGCCAGTTTTGGTCTGACACCACCCACCACATTCTATCTTATAACTAACTTTAGAATTTAATGGCTGCTCTTTGGTATTTTCACTCTGACCGATTTAGAATTACTTTTTCATAATCATACCTTAAACAGAATAGGTGAAAAACATCCTTTATTGTCCAGCAGTGGAGAAATTCAGGTGTGTCGGCAGCAAGAAAGGGGAATAATTAGTGCTGAATGTGGTTCTATATGCTAAGATCTTAATACAAAAGTAAAGATTATCTTTGACGTGTTCTGTCAGTTTGGTCTATGGGGACTTTAATTCCTTTTTGGCTGTAGTCATTTCTTCTCAGGGATGGTTACTTTAACCATTTGTGATTTTTGCTTTGCTGGTCACTCTATAGATATTTGATTCACAGCACTATTCTCACAATTTAATAATCTTAACTATAAAGGAAAAAAAAGTAGTAAATGACAAAATGGCCACAAGCAACTAATAATAATAGCGCAACTAGTTTATCTCTTTTTGTTTATAATCTTACCTTAATCTTTTTTTGGTAAACCTTATTTGTAGCGCACTTACATTCAACAAGATAATTAATAATAAGTCAAATGCATTCATAAAGTTGTAACATGAAAATGTGCTCTTACAGAAGGTCCGACTTTACCCTGGGGTCCAGCATCACCAGGACGACCAGTCAAACCCTGCAAGATACCAAGTGCAAAGAAATAATATGAAACCATCTGAGGGCTTTATTAAAACACACAACACAGGGCTGGGGAGAGGAAACATACAAATATATAAATAAAGAAATGCTAAAATTAAGGATTCAAGAGGATGCAATTAAAGAGGATGCAATCCTCATGCTATCCTTGCTATTCAAAGGTTTGTTTTAGACCTTCAGTGTATGTGCGCACTTCTTTTGTTGGATTGAATTTCAAAAGACTTTGCTTTGTTGGTTATTTCTTTTGCAAATGCAAAGTTTACTCTTGCACACTTGCTGCTGTAGCAACGGGTGTGAGGAACGTATTGTCTCTCGTACTACTGAATATCACCAGACTGATAAGAATTTATGCATACTGTACTTCGCTTTATGTATGACAGGTCTCAAAGACATATTTTATTTTGTCTTAATGTAATAATGACAAATTATTGGCATCCTGGGTTACCACTCCTACCCTACCACCTTCAACAATGTTTAGATAGTAAAAAAAAGCATGTTATGCGGGTTTTACATGTTTTTAAGGGCTTTCGCCTTAATGACACCATTCTTTATAAATTTGTATTAAGCACAGGCATTGTTTGCATCATTAAACATTGCACATTATTCTATTGTGCAGCAAAGTGAATGACTGTAAGGGTAAACTTAACAAGGACTCTGTTTATCTCCAAATTGCACCAGTTTAGGTGGTCACGCAGAAATATCTCTGTGTTTGTGGAGACTGTTGTTGATAATACATCTAGCCTAGGTTTAACCTATAAGTAGGTACCATGTTTAAACCCAGCTTCTGGAGCCTGCTGCAGGCTGGGAGTGGCAGCACAGACAAGCAGATGATTGAAGCTGTGCATTCAGTCACTTCTAACTATCCTCTCTAACCATGGCATCCATGGCTAACTATGGCTTTAGTGATTTTTTTCATCCAATAAAAAATAAAATAAAAAGTACAAAAAACATCAGTTCTTGTAAGTGAAGGAAAAAAGGGGAATTAAACAGAAGTTAACAAGCTAGGCTTGCTTGTATTTTTAATATCAGTTTGCCAGTTGGCGAATGATGTCGTATTCTACATATAAAGTCTGTATTTTGCTTAAGAATAATGTGACTGTGATCTTAGCTCTGGATAGTTTGGTGTTTAAGGATTATTCTAATTGATGATGTGTGAGTTTGTTAAACCCTAATTATAAAATGCGTCTCAGAACTAATGTTTTCAGCTTCATTATGTACATGGCAAAGATTTGTGAATGGAATGAGAGCAGTGTCCTTGATGAAAGAACATGGTGTAATATTCTGATAAGGCTGGAGCCATGGATGTCTCATTATTTTCAAATGTGTATGATGTAATGATGTGATGATGCGGCATACTGAATTTGAATAAAATGCTTCTTTAACTGTGATTCAGGGCCACTTCTACGAGATGCGAACCCAGTTGGTAAGCGCTGCCTTCTTTAATCAAAAGCAACTTCTCTGATCTGAGTAAGATTACATTTTATATCAAAATCTGTTGTCATGTATCATGGTTATTTAATATATATACATTATGAGGTGCTATTTAAAGAGCTTGTCCCATTGTTTTCTCAGGAAAAGAACCTGAGAGAGAAACTTCAAGGTGTTAACACAGAGCTTTTCTTAACAGGCGTTAAACTATAAACAAAAATGTATTCTGTTTGAACCTGTGGGACTTATTTACATAAACTGGCTGAAAACTCAGTCTAGGAAAAACTTACCCTTGCACCAGGAAGCCCTGGCTCACCAGGACGGCCGGGGTCACCAGTGGCTCCCTTAGCACCGCTGGTCCCTGGTGGTCCACGCTCACCTGGGGCTCCCTGCCAGAAAAAAAAAAAGAAAAAATTTATAAATAAATAAATCAGCACCCTGAACACAGATTGTGTTGTATTTGCATAAGAGACTGATTTTAACCCCCAAGTGGGTGCATATAACAATGAATTTGACTTCAGTTCCACTTTACTCTCCAGGATATCAGTTACCCTGTTAAGAATGTGCAGGAGTTCATTATTGACCTGCTGGAGATGAAGAGATTAAATCTTGATAGATTCATTTTGTGTTAAATGAAACTGTCCATGGAAGACAATTTTAGATGAGATATTAGCCTTACTGATAAGGTTGACATATACAGGTCAGTGGTGCACGACTGGACAATTAACCATGCTGCCATCTTGTGACGGCTAAGAGGAATTACATTAAACTTTAGCAGAAAAAAACGGGGCGTTCTTGAAATCTGAAGAAAAAAAAATGTAACACTTATAAATTCCAAAACCAACATGATCTCAATTAACTCTGATGTTTAAAGAGAATCTTTACACAAATCATCAGTCATGCTATTCAACTCAACAGCTTTGTGCAATTTAACAAGATCTATAATTATAAGCAGGCTAAACTTATCCTCTACAAATGTCATCAGTCACAAATAAAAAGTAATAATAATAGTAAAAGCAACAATATCAATATTTTTATAGCACATATACTATGGAGGGCATTGTTCCTAAAGAGATATCAACTCTTTATTTCCTCAGAACCATCTATTTGATAAAAACTTTTTACAATTAAGAATTATTGCATTCAAGCTCCATAAACTTACCACATTATAGAAATACATTTCATAGGATAAAACTAAATGTCACAGATTTCAAGCCAATCAAAGACTTTAAACTGAAGGGGATTCTTTGACTTATAATAATAAAAAAATTGTAGACTGAGACCAAATGAGTCCAATCAGTGAAAGGTGGATCATAGTGATATTAAAAGTTTGCTCAAGGTAAAGTGATATCCGTCAGACCTAACCTATGTTTTTTATATTCAATGTCCCTTATTTTTTTCCATAGTTGGATCTGTGGTTGAGCACATTGTCCAGTGCATATTCTTTACATATTAATCTAACTGTGATGATCACTCACCTTGGGACCAGCCAGACCATCCTGACCGGGGAAACCACGATTACCAGGGGCACCCTGAACAGAAAACACAAAATCTTAGCTCTGATTTGAACACAAACAATGCAAGAACTAATGACATTCTATATAAAACCTTTAGGAGCTTGAGCGAACATATAAAATGTGATCTACTAAAATTATTAATCCATATACAAAAATTTTTAAATAATATCCGACTTAAGACATTTTCTCAATGCAAGGAGTACAACAATGTATCAATTTTTTTAAAGGAGCCATGTAGCGTCTGTAGAAATATAAACTAAAAATATCTTTATGTTAAAATAAAGCATTATAGTGCTCATCCTGGTAGTGTTTGCTCTGTCCCTTTTGAGCCTAAAAAAATTTTTGCACCTGAAGTGGCCAGCAGACATAAGCTTTGTTGTATGTTATCGCCATCTGCTGGCAGTACTCAATCATGCATCCAACTTTTGCAGCTTCAGCTCCTGCTTCAGTGAATATCAACATTTATATTGTTTTCTAAGCATTACTGCTGTCTTATCCATCTTAGCATCTGATGTTTGTGACTGTTTGTGCTTTTTCACTGTTGATCTTGGACTTTTCCGCTTTCTTTTCACACCTCTGCTGAGGAAATGTTGACTGTTTTGGCTCCATTACTTCCTTGTTTCATTGTTGCCAGCATGCACATTAGCTCTGGTAATTTTATTTTATTATAGAAAATATCAAAAGCACTTAAGTTTACAATAAAATGGACAAAAACACACCTCAGAAAAAAATTGACATAGAGACTCATAAAGTCATAGTGTGTGACTTAGGCACATTTATAAGGACATTTACCAGGTAAAACAGTGATTTTATGTCTTTAAAACAACCTGTTTCCGCAGACCTTTGTTACTTACTCTTTCTCCTGGAGGTCCTAGAGGTCCAGCAGCACCAGGCTCACCTCTGGGTCCTCTCTTGCCTTCTTCTCCCTGTGGGCCAGGGGCTCCCTGAGGGCCTACTGGTCCCTGTCAACAGGTTTAATTTATACAGAATAATACTTAGTTTTTGTGTAGCTTTGATTAATAGCTTTGTCTAAAGAAGAAACTCTTATTGGCCTCAAAATCAGTTTAGGACTCATGTATATATTTAATATAACATTTTGAGAATGAGATGAGGTATGAGACAAATGAGAGTAAGTTAAGTAAAAAAAAAAAACAACTCACAATTTCTCCTTTTGGTCCAGCCTCCCCCTTGAATCCTGGTATACCTGGATCTCCCTAATCCCAGAGAGGAGGGAATATATATAGTGGACATGGTTAGAATATTCCTAAGAATAATCATTTTGGATGTAAAGTTAACAACAATATCATTAGTGTACTGTTATTTACATTTGGAAGTATTAGTTTCCAAAGAGCTGCTAGGAATTCAATCTTTAAGTATATCAACTCATAAAATACTAACAGATGTTCCTTTTGGCCCAAGAGGTCCAGTTGCTCCCTGAGGTCCAGGAGGCCCACGAGGTCCGGGGAAACCAGGAGCGCCTGCAATACCTGGAGCACCCTACACAGGAATTTAGAGAGAAAGAGGAAAAATAAATGTAAAGTCAGTTACCTGAATTATATAAAGACGTCCATTTAATGGAAATATTTGAAATATCACTGAACTGTAGATTAAAACTAAATAAGTGATTGAACCTATTTGATTTTAGACATAGTGTACAAATGTAAATCCTTTATTGGAAATGGGACATAAACAATAACACACACAAGAAAAAACTTACTGCTGATCCTTTAGATCCAGGAATACCATCAGTGCCAGGGTTACCCTGCAAGGAAAAAGAGAATTTATAAATACGCTCCTATGTGTGTTTTGAAGTGATTGATGACAGTGTATCATATTAAATCTGTGTTTGGTTAGGATTATTTTTATTGATGATGTCTGAGTCTGTTAAACCCTAATAATACCTGCCTGTTATGTGTAAAACTAATTTTTTCCCAAGTAGTTTATCTAATTAGTTCCTCTCTCAGCATAAAAAGTCATTTTCATTATGTACGTAGCAAAGGGTTGGCCACTTTTTTCCGGTTGAGGTTTGTTATGATGCCATTACTCACAGAGGCACCAGAGGGTCCAGGTGATCCAGGAGTGCCCGACTCTCCACGGGGTCCTTGAGCTCCCTCGGGACCACGTGCACCAGTAGGACCAGCTTCACCCTAAATATAGCACATGCAAAAGGGCAATCATTTAATAATCTTTGAATAACAAATCTAATCTATTATCTTAACATTAGAGAACTCTGATAACATGTCAAAAGCATAACAAAATAAAAAAATTATTATGGGGTCAAAAGTGGAACAGAAAATGATTTTAGTCAACCTGGCTTCCAAACTGTATAAATAAGATAAATCATGTTTCATTTGTCTCTATATCATAGATAAAAACTGAAGATAATATTTGACAATAAAAACAAACAATTTAATACAAAATTTAATTCAATAACAACTATATATAGTCCAAATTAAATATTTTTAAATAAAAAAATGCAAACAGGTCAGTCTATCAATCATTACAAAGACAAATATCAAGCCATTTTAAATGTTTACTTGATAAAATAAATAAAATGAAGATAAATAATAAACTTCTTGGCCCTTATGTAGGCTGTCAAACATGCACAGTGAAAACAAATGGTGCATTAAAGCTTATATTATGATTAATCAATTTGAACATGAGCTTAAGCCATCCTTAAACCCCACTGTATGTGAATAATTTCTAACCAATTCTAAGACACACTTTATAGTCCTAATGCAAGACTAGGAGCTGGTTTTAAGTAGCCTTTAACAGTCTGCGATTTAGATCTCTGGTATTTATTGATATATGAAAAGTTTGGGCTCTCCAGGTTATTAAGTACTAAGTCTAACTTTGTCTTCCAAGGCATGTAGTAATGGAGTTACAGCAAAGTCAGCATTTTAATGGTAGAAACCAGGAACCCTGAAAAAAAACAACAACAAAAAACAATCTGGACTATAGGAAATCTGTGAAGGGAAAACTTGGACACAGATTTCTGTAAATTGTTTAATTGGCTTACTAAATCAGAGAGAGGCATGCAGAATGTACGAGATATTTGGATCAGTGCAGTTTTTTTTTGTTAAAAACATATATCTCAGGTTATAGATAAGTGTGAAAAAGTTAGTTTTTGTAATTATGTTTCCGTTTTGGTGTGGTACAAACAGTACATAGTCACAGTAAAAAAAAAAAAAAAAAAGTCACAACCCCCTGTAGCCACCAGGGACTTAATGCTCTGTAATTTGATCAGATTATCTTGATTTCATGTAAGCCCTGAAAGGCAAGAGAAAAAATAAATATTTCTGGAAAAGAAAAGCTTACATTTTTTTTTTTATTGTTTCATTTTCTGCCCCAAAAGGCAAGTAAGAAAGAAAAAAAAAATCTAAGGCAAAATTTTCTCTTTTTTTCGTGTAATACTTTCTTTTGTACTGACTGTCAGGGCAAAAAACAAAAAAACAAAAAAACAAAAAAACAAAAAAAAAACAACTTAAAACTTTTTTTTCCCCCAGATTTAAATTTCTCTTGCCTTTCAGGGCTTCCATACATTTTGCATCTACAAGACAATCAGCTGATTTCCATCACTGTATCTACAGTAATTAAAAGGTCCCACACATAAAGCTGTATTTCAATTCATTCTGCCTAAACATCTTCCCATTCATCTTGCTGCTGACCATTGATCCACTTCCTTATTTCTGTTTTCCATATAATCTCTAACTAAACCAAATGGTCATCAATCCTCTTCCATGTGGTCTCAGAATAGAGCCAAAGGACAAAATGCAGAATGTTGGATGGGGCAAGAGCTTCTAAAGACCCAAATTCCCCTACAATAATACTGATCTCAACCCTGTCTGAAAATAGTAAAGTCAATTAAATTAAAACAAAAAGATTCTCAAAGTTGATATCTTTTCCATTTCCACCTAGACTCAAAACTAATGCATCAGTCCTGCCATACCTAACCATCTTTTACTGTTCCTGTCCATGTTCTGCACCTTCTTATACTTTACAGCCACACCCAATTCCTCATGCAGCGCTACAGTTTCTCTCTTGGTACACTTTTACAGAGCCACGATTAAGTATTTTGTTCTATTATTGAATGTCTGTCACACTCAAATGGTTTGAATGAAATTAAAATATTAGACAAAAATTGGTAAATAAAAAATAACAATCTTGTTTTAAATGGTTTTAATCATTGAGCCAAACCGACCTGACCCTTTGTGAAAATGCCAATTAACCAAATAATTGCTTACACTGTTTCTTTTGCAACCCCTGAATGAATTTGCGTGAGGGATCACTAATGGAAAGTTTCATTGTTTTTTCATGCAATCTCCAGTTGTGGACAATGGTTCTTACTATGGTTGGCTGGAGTCTTAGATCTGGTTTCATGACCTGTTTCAGGCTTAAGATCATGCTATCACTCCATGATCTGTTTATGATATTTACAACTGACAATAAACTGCAAAGTCTAGACAAGAAATAAGAGTTTAGACAGAGCAATAAATATTACACTTTATACACCCCTCAATGTAGCAATAAACCTGTCACCACTATCAGCTGAGAAATATAATTTTGGAGGGAGAGCGTATAGTGTATTAGAGAACAGAGTCAGAAGCTGCAGCAGCATGTTTCTGTGTGTATGCAGACACTGCATAATCCTGCATTATCCATTTGCTCAGCAGAATATGATGCTGATAAAATGTGAAAATGGTGCAAAACAACTCTGCTTGTATTCAAAATGCTGTAGCAATTAGAAAAACCTGAGGACCATAAGACCGCTACTGCAAAAAAATTACAGAGCTACTGTAAGTCCTTCTACACTGCTGGACTGGTGGACCAATAAAAAAAAAATAGAAGACTAGACCTGGCTCCGAGACATTGAGGACACCACTGCAGGCACTCAGGCCTTAGCATAAACAGGAAACAAGGGGATTGTCTTTAGGTTGTCACAGAAAAAAGGTCAAGTCTCTGAGCCTGCACACTTAAGAGCCCCCGGGATGAATGGTGAACACTACCCACAATATCAGAATTTAATTTTACTTTGATACTTCTTAGAATTTAATAAAAGTTTATCATTAGAAAAGGCCCAGCACAGTCTTTCCTGAAAACACCCAAGAGGAACAAAGTCCTTCCACCTCTGCTACGAAATAAAACCTTTGCCACCAGGTAATATAAGGAATCCTGAACTATGGAAGGAGAGTGTAGTGCAAAACCCAACAACTACAGCAGGTCATCAGGACAGCCTAAAGATCTTCTCAAACCATCTCCTTCAAAGGGCCATAGGGAGCCAGGATAGGCCATCTAAATGTGAGAGCGTGCACAAGCCCATTTATCGTTTTGCACGCTCTGTTTAAAAGTTGCTGTTTGCATCGCTCAAACAAGCCTAATTTCCAAAATAAGATTTGCAATTTTTACACCATGTCAGACTTACCACCAGTAAGTGAAAATGGGGGAAGAGCACGTAGGACGGCCTTACGTAAACATATCCCCAGAATGATTAACAGTTAGGAGGACCAGTTATTTTGATGATCCACACAGAAAAAGATCATCCTCCACTATACCTGTAATGCTGCTAAAAAAAGAGATGCTGCTATATAACATTTTGTTTTGCACCCTGCACAATGATCGTTTGTGCAAAATGTGTCCATGTCCTTACATATTTTGCAGGGGAATGTTGGAAGTTCAAAGCCAACCACTATTAATTCTGTATTTGCAGCTTCATAACCTGAGGGTGCCTATACTGATTCATGGTATATATACTTAATAGCTATTATTTGAAATGGGAAAAAAACATCTTGAAATTTGGCTTATGGGAAATTTCATGTTTTTTTCTAATCACTTTCTCCTTCTTCTATTTGTAATACAGACGCACTTTTAACTAAGATCTCTCTTTAATCCCAGTTAATTCATGATTTAACTAGAGGAGGGATCATGCTTTTACTGGGCTTAGGTCACAATAATAACTATTTTCTCCTCATTCAATCATTATTAAGCTATTCAAAAATGTTTGCCAAAAAAACAAAAAAGTACAAATCTAAAAGTGGGAAATGACCCATCATGGTGCAGTATCTGCTTGCTCAAGATCCATAAAGATGATACTTTCTCCTAACTGTCTCTCCTCTGAACCCAACTCTAATCTTCATCTTGGCAGATGGTTCATCAATCAGCTGTCTATAGTCCATGTTCCTTTACACTGTAACACTGGTAAACTATTCCCCCATTCCTAGTTTCATCTCACCATCTAGGATTGTGCCAAATCATGTTTGAAAATAAAAACCCAACCATCACTCTCAGACATCTCTGTCATCTATTAATCATCTTCATGTCTGCTCACACTTTCTCCAAACTGATCTTCTAAACTTTTTGAATCTCTAACTTTCCTTCATCTTTCTTCTTTTCTCTCTTATCTACATGACTTAGTTCTATATACTTAACCTACAAGGGGTGTTCAATAATTAATGTCTCTGGCCCACTTCCAGATGTTTGATCGAGCTGAAATTTTGCATGTGAAGTATTTTAAATCTCTATAGATTAAATAGCAAATTACAGCTCTGAACTAATTGTGGTTTCTGATTTACTGGTGATAAAACAAGGTCATGTCTGAGTTTTTGCATTTGAAAGGATGCACACAATGTCCTAAAGTAACTTATAGTAACTTATAGTGTCCCATAATATAACCTTGTAAAACATTTTGCAAGGTCATATAATGGGCATCATCACCATAAGTTACTTTAATTTCATCAAAAGTCTCCTGTGGTGTGAGTACTTCCCAATAGAAACACCAGATCACTGCTCGACACGCAGCTGGCTCCATTTCAGACTTTACTCAGTTCAAACACCTGTAAGTCAGAAACCACAAATAGTGCTGAAAGAACAGAAAGAAGCAACAATTTGCAGTATTAGGACAGACCGATGGATATGTACATGGCAGCAGGTACAGACAAGGAATGGAACCACCCAGCAGAGACAATGGCCGAAACAAGCTAAGTCTTCTCACTCACATGAGAAACAGGTGATGGCATAAGAGGTAACAAGCAGGCACAGAGTAACCAAAACAGCTAATTGCATGATGGCAGAGAGCAACGACAAAAAAAAAATACACAAATAAAGCTTTACGGAGATAATGAAAATAAGGATTAAAAATAGAAATTAGTTATCATAAAGAGCATAGAATAGAATAGAGATGTGCAAAAAATAACAGCAGCATGTTATTTATCTGACTAAAAGAGAATCTGTGAACAAATCAGCATGAATGTAACTTTTTATTGAGGTAGTTGGGAATAGTGATGGTTATAAAGTCTTACAGCTGCTGGGAGGAAGGATCTTTGATAACGCTCCCTGGTGCATTTAGGGTGCAGCAGTCTGTCACTGAAGGAGCTCTAAAGTTCAGCAACAGCTTCATGCATGAGGTGGGAAACATCATCCAACAAAGATATTATTCTAGTTAGGGTCCTTTTGTTTCCAATCTCCTGCACTAAGTCCACGGGGCATCAAATCCTGATCAGCTTATCCAGCCGCTTCTCTCAGCTACAGATAAGCCACTGCTTCAACAGACAGCTCCATAGAAGATGAGAATAACCCAGAGAACTAAAAGAAGTCTTCAAAAGAATTGGACGTACCTGTTAATTTACTTCAAGGTCGGATAGCCCAATGCTCACTCAGCAATAAACCAAAGAGCTAGATAGACCCTAAAAGCCTTCATTTCATTTTCAAGTAAAACTGGGTAACTTTTAGGCACTTGTAACTTTCAGGTTAAGCTCTCATAAAGAATTTAAAAGTAATTTGAACAAAATTAAACAGTCTTCCTCCATGTTTCTGAATCAGATAGAAGAAGACTATGAAACAGCAGATTTAGAAGTCATGAAGTTACTTGTAAAGTCAAGTCCACATTTCCTCATCTGGATTTAATCCTACATCAGAGAAAAAAAAATATGTAGCCTAAATCTATAAAATATATCTGATAAGGTATCTGTGTGTTCAAAGGGACCTCAGACCGCCATAAAGCGATGATCTGGATCACATGACTCATTCAGAGAAGGATCAGAACATCTCAACTTACTTAAGTGAGATGTTGGGAAGGTGCAGCCTGCATGAAGCATCCAGGCATGCTGAGTGCTGCTCAGATTCAGCTAATATTTGATTCAAAAGTCAGGCAAAGTTGTTTTGAAGTTCATGGGAGTACATTCAGAAAAATGCCTTACAAGTAGGGCATGTTTGGAAGGATAGCTGGGAGAAAGCATTTTCTGTTTTTGAAAGGAATATGGCATCATGATTGTAAACTTGCATCTTAATGACAAGCAACAAGCTTTTGGTTACTGGAAAAAAAAAAGGAACCAAAGTATAGCTGTTTGGCATGGTGAAAGCTTTAAATTAATACATTTATGAGAATGCTGTAATATATAAAATGTTTCTAAAGTCAAAAATGATCACATACCAAAAATTAGAAACATTCAGATTGGCTGAAAAAGGGAAATTATCAAGATGAGTATGGTCTGGTCAAACTAATGTAAACACTCTGACAAGACCTTTATAAAGATGTGCATGAACTAATAAAGCTAACTTTATGAAAATCTTAAGCATCTTGAGAAGCATCACCCACAGATTTATACTTCAGGTCCATTCTAGTTTAGTGCTAAATGAAATGAAATGACATAAAGAAAAAGGACAAACTACTCTCTATGGTAGCTTTTCATATCCTCCCAGTTTTTCACTCCATCATGCCAAGTTAATAATATTTTGCAGATGTTTTGATTCAGTTCTGGAAAGACTTGGGCCTCTATTCAAAATAACTATCGTAGGAGCCCTGCTTTGAGGACACCGGGCCAGCATTTTACTGCTGGTATGCAGCGTCATGGTGATGAATGGAATTCCTCTAGTAGTAAAAGATGAATAATAACAAAGATATTTGCCAACCCTTAAGCTGTGACACAAACAAAATACTGATATTACTCATATTATTTTACTTTAAGCTAAATTATTTAACTTTTTTTAATGGACTCAAATGAAGGTGAGAGCAAAATAAAACTGACGATGTGCAACAGCTTTAAAAAAGGGGAAAAAAAGTATTCTTTTAGATGCAGATAAATAAAGTTTAATGAAACTGCCACTTTTTCATCAGTGCAGTTTTATTCAGCTGAGGTTCAGATAACTGTGCCGTGCCCAACTTTGATTTTCTGTCAGAGTAGGTTCAAAGCTTTTCTCATGGGTTCAAAGCAGGAGAGACGAAAAGCAAGATGAGACTGTAATAAATAAATTCTAAAGAGAGAAAAAGGAGGCCTCAGAAAAACTGACAGTCAGTCAACTCCTAAAAGAATAGCAGAAGTATGTAATCTGATATTCCTAATGGTTTCCCAGGCAGACAAACTCATGCAGAGTTTCTGCTGGAGATGAAATACACATATTTTCAAATTGTGTGCTATTAGAATGGATTAACACACAAAAACAGAAAGTTTTCTAGAATTTATGATGTGACAACTGCCAGTAAAGCTTGGATTTTACAATTCAGAAACTCTATTTACAAATCCTGAAAGATTTTCTAAACAAAACAGAGACCCAATTCTAACAGCCGTCATGCAATAGTAAATCAAATGTGAAAAAGAGAGCCATAAGAAATACAATATTTGAAGAAGATGAAAACGAAAACAAAGTCCTTCCTCATTACCACCAAAATGTAGGAGTTTCAAAATCTCATTAAATTTTCAGCAAAAAAGTTCCCTGACCTTGATAGATTAAACTTTTAGGAAACCCGTTAAGATGATGGAAAAAAATTATGACTAAGTGGTTCAAACTTTTTGTATTAAGGTTGGGAATTATAGGACATTTGACAAGAAGCCACTAACGAACGAAAATTAAGATAAAGTTAATATATAGAGTGAGTTGGTGTTAAACTTTGGTAATCTTTTGACCTACCTTTGCACCAGGAGATCCAGGGAAGCCCGGAGCCCCAGATGGACCAACAGGGCCCTACAAAATGGGAAAACAACAGTTGATGCATGCAGCTGCAAAGCTTCCAACTATTACAGTAAATTCAACTTATTATGAGGTCAAAATGCAAATGATTTGAATTATTAAACGATATCCAAAATGATACCTACTGGAGGACCAGCAGGACCAGGCAAGCCATCATTTCCTCGTGCACCCTAAGCAGAGAGCACAATTACAGCAATGCCACTAGAATAATACCATAACCCGCCTTAATTCATTAAAGATAAAAGGTGATAATTTAAATGTATCGGTAACAAAACCATGTCTAACAAATATCTGCATCCAGTGTGAGCATTTAGAAGATAAGTTGAACTTACAGCAGCTCCGGTGGATCCGGGACGTCCTCTCTCCCCAGGCAAGCCACGTGGTCCCTATGAAAGAAAAAACAAAACAAAACGGAAATTTTTAATATCAATTAACCGTTTGTATTATCTGTAAAGAAGTGCTTTTTTGTGCTGCTCTTGTGTGACCACCAAACACCCACCATGGGTCCAGGTGAGCCACTCTCACCGGGGGCACCGGCCTCACCCTAAAAAAGATAAAGATTTAGATTTTAGCATAATCCGTATATAACTGAATTATATAAGAAAAATAACACACTTAATGTATACACTCTTTATAAAATACATTAGTGTATCTTTACCCTCAGATTCAAGTCAGAACAGAGACCCAAATAGAATCTGACAGAGAACAGGGTATGAATACTTTTTGGCTTAACTAAATGTCTGCATTCTTTGCATTCAAACAACAACAAACATATTCACTAACACAGGCTGTGTGTATTTATAAAGGTGTAATAACATTAAACCCTCAGAAGGGTAAATAAAGTGTCCTGATGATACCTGGTAAACTTAGCCCTAACCATGTGGTGTTACAGCAAGTACAAAATAACTAAGAGACATACAGCTACAACAGAGAAACAATTCCCACCTTTGCACCAACAGCACCAGTCTCTCCCTTTGCACCATCAAGACCAGGATAACCCTGTAAACACCAAGCAGAGAGGTAACATGTTAATAATCTGGACCCATGTTTGGAGAGAAAATCTTTAAAGTGACAAACTCACTCTGTGTCCCTTGATGCCGGGCAGACCAGGAGTTCCTGGGAAACCGCGAGCTCCCTGTGCAGTGAGATGGAGAATGGTAGAGGAGATGACTATGTTGCAATGGAAGAAGATAAATCCCATGCTTTTCATTTTACCTGATCTTAATGTTTATTAATACAGCAGAAAATAAAGCAGTTTTCTGAGAAAAATGTTTAATAATCTCAAAGAAACTGAGATTAATCATCTTCAGCAGCTCAGTCGATATAGTGAGAGTTTACAATTTATACCTGCAGAAGCCACAGCAAATAATCCACTGTTCATTGAGATCCTTATCAATAAGCATTTAAGAAAAAGCAATGTATCAAATGTTTTTTTTTCCTCACAAGATTTTACTCTTATTGTAACATACTCCAAGCTAAAACTGTCCGAAATTATAAATAAATTAGCAGATTAAAGGAACTCACTTGAGGTCCAGTGGGTCCACGGTCTCCTGGTTTCCCTGGTTTCCCTGGTTCCCCCTAAAAATTAAGACATATCAAGTAAATCAGAGTATTTGATCAATTAAATGTATGTTGAGTCATTATGTGTGCATTTATTGTGTTTTTTTTTATTGTGAGCTGTCCTAGTGGACCTAATTTAAAATATGAAGTCTGCTGCCATCATGTGGATCACAAGTAGAACTACATTTCAAAACTCGCATGAGTGTCTTCTCTGCAATGTCACATTAACAGCAATCAAAATGGATTTTCTAACAATTATTATAATAATTAACTAGATCCAAACTTATAATGAAAATAAAAGATTATTCTAGATGTATTTTGCCAACTGTCAGATTATGAGATGCTGCTCAGCATCTCTTAATCTAAACTGATTTTTTTAGGTTGAGACGTGTTTTAGTTTGAAGAAAATAAGGACAGTTAGCCTCATAAATCAGACATTTGAAATAATAGCTTGACAAAATAAGTAATCCTAAAGAGAGCCAACTGAGAGAGACTTGAAATTATAACGAAATCCAATTTCATGAAGACGATATTTTTTTTTATTAAAAATATTTCTTGTAAATGCAGTTAACACATATCACAGAGAATTATGACAAAGATCAATTTTGTTCAATAAAAAAGTTCTCAGTAGTTTGAAATCTGCTCTAATTGATGTGTGCTTTTTAAAACTATCTGTTCAGTATTACACAACTATAATGTTTTATTTAAATTAAAATAAAACAATGAAAAAACAAAAATAAACCAGTAAAACAGTAAATTAAACTTACATCATCTCCAGGTTTCCCAGGAGGTCCAGAGGGGCCACGGGGACCCATGGGGCCCTTTTAGCAGGAATGGGGAAACAGAAAAAAAAAATGAAGACAAATACAAAGGTGAGTCTCAGTTCCCATTTAAAGCCAGTAGGAGGCAGGATCAAACAGTGAATGCCTTTCTCTTTGTAATCAGGCCTAATAACAAAAAAAAAAGTAAATAAACAAGGATTTATTTCATATCATGTTAGAAAGATGGATTATTGCAATCTCAATGAAATGGGAATTTTCAATAGTTTTTGCTAAAGAACAATAAAACATATGAGGAAAAATACTTCATCATTGAAACAAAAGAGTTGAACTATAAAAGTGTCAGTTATTCTTTCTGCTTTTTAGCTGCCTTATCCTATGAAGGTGTTGACAAGTGTCAGAAAAAAGGTTTACATGTCACATTAGATCCTTGCTAGCATTTTTTATTTGTTAGTTCATCTAATATGAGAGAACAACATTGGTTCTTCCTATTTATTCATTTCAATTTTTTCTTCATGACTTTGTCAAGGTAATGAAGCATGAAACATTTATATTGTTATGTTCTGAAGGAAACCTCAGGACAAAGACCTCAGATGTAACTGGAATGCACAATCCTAAACTGTGACTCCTTAAATTATTTTCTGGAGTTGATTTTTGAATTTAATTTAATTACACTTAATGATGTCCTGGCAAATATTATAAAGAGAAGGCATGTCTGTGTAATCTCCACATGAGCAGATTATCACAGCAGTGGGGAGACTTTGTTCTGTTGACCTGAGGGGAAGAGTGAGGATTGGAAAGCTGGATAATATGACCTCAGGATGTTTGGGGAACTAAGTGGGTCCAACAGAAAAGAAGAAGGAAATTAAGACAGAAGCAAAATAATTTTTTTACCAGCAAAAAAAAAAAAAAAAAAAACTGAACCTGATGAGAAGAAACCAACACAGGAGGCATCAGTAGGAAGACAGTAGAAGACACGTTAAGGTCACAGAATATGAAAAGCTAAACTAGGAGCATTATTGGATCACTAAACATAATCTGAGTATGTAAAAAAAAAAAAGAAACTGGATTGGAACACGATAATTATACAGGGGTTGGCAAGAAATGTAGTGCAGGCAGGAAATTGTGCTGTTTTTAAATTTCATTAGAGCTTTAAACGTAGATCAGTTTTAGATGAATAATAAAACCAGTTTAACTTCCTGTTTGTTTTGATGCTCACTATTTTGAGCAAAAAAGATGATACAAATAGATTTATTTTCATTCTATTCCACACTCACGGAGATTACACAATATGCTTTCTTTATACTAATTAAGTTCAAACAGGAGGACAAATAATGACTTTTTTTAACCTTCTGTTAGTTTTATATTTGGATACAAATGAACCTCAACTTTTTATTCAGAAATGCTCATTTTAAAGGCCTATGAGATTTATTTAGATTTTTGCCAGGCATCTAATCCTGACATAAAAATACTGAGAACAATCTACTTGTTGTTTAGTGTTGTTTTACCAATAATAATGAAAAAAAAAAGAACTAGATCAAAACTATTTGCATGAGAATAAGATAAAAAAAAAAAGCAAAAAGTTATGAGTATTAAACCATGCAGTGTGTTTTAAGAGACGGCACATTTCATTATCATCATACTTACAGCTTGGCCGGGCTCTCCAGCCTCTCCTGGGCTGCCTTGGAAACCCTGTGGGCCCTGAGATTTTGAGAGAGGAGAAGGATGATCTGATAAGACTAAAATATATTTTATTTAAAAACATAACTGGTGCCAAATGTTGATAGATTAAAGAGCATAAATATGATAAGAATCAGAAATAGTGCACATTCTGCCACCCAAGTTCAACTTAGGACAATAATGCACTAAATGTATTTTGGTCATTCTTGTATATTAATTGTATCTAAAAAAAATGTCTAAATTCTTAATAATATTAGTTTAATAACCTAATAAAAATAAAATGAACTTTGCCGGTAGAAGGTAGGTAGAACTCTAAAAAAACAAAGTAAGACTGGTAGTATCTTAAGGCGAATCTACTGCATAAGCATCGTATGTTAGGGCAACAAAAGTCTCTGAGGTGGAGCTCATAACCATGATTAAACCAAAGGACAAAGGCTGGGTGGATGGTGCCGTCTACCTGCTAGCCGGAAAGGCCAGAAGAGCTAAAGTATGGTTGCAGTGTGTTGGAAAAAGAGGAAGGGTGTGTTTGTCTGCATATCTGTGTGGGGGGTTGTAAGCCTACTGGGGAATATGAAAGGTAAATTGTCAGGTGTTCAACAATCTGTCTGGGTTGTGGCACAGGAAAGAGCCCTGAAGCCTCCAGCTGGGAGACTGGAGGTGCTTAGACTCAGATCAAAAGCCCACTGTCTCATTTAAAGGTGGGCTGAGTATAAACATTCATCTCTGACAGCGAGTGACACACAATCCTTCCTGGAGTCTAAGTATGTAGTCGTCAGATGAACTCCAATTTAATTTCCATGTGCAAAACATCATGCATGTTACAAATATAGGCCCTTAGCAGTATATTCCGCTAATCGTATCTACAGCCACTCCCAGCTTAGTCGGTGTTCAGAGTGAAGCAGGTACTTACAGGTGCTCCTGTGGGGCCAGGTGGTCCTCTGGGTCCCATGGGGCCCTGAGGGAAGTGGAAACAAGAAAAACAACATCAAAATGGTGTCAGTAGAACTGTTACTACAGTAACTCATAGTTTAGACTGGAAAAAAAAAATTATTACACATCTTTGTTGCATAGAAATATAACCTCCATGTTTATCCAGTTTAATCGTTTCACAGCTTTAAAGGTAAAATGTGTGCTTTGCCCCAAAGCTTTATCACATTCAACCTGTCAAAGCCGTAAATCGTTAAAAAATTCCACAATGGCACTCTCTTTGTGCAAATCCTTCTCTTCAGCTCATGTAAATGTACACCCTGATCCTCTTTCTTTTAGCTTTATTACTAATCATAAAACGTTTGTTGACTGAAAAAAGAGAGTTTTGGCTTAATTTTGAGGGTTACATTTGGAGGGCAAACTGAAATTTGTCAGACTGAATCTTGAGCCGCTGAGTGAAAATTTCTGCCTGGATTCACATGCCAAAACAATTTTTACTTGAACTTCTTGCATCAGAGCTCAGCAGGAGAGAATTAGACTCTTTGGGGCGAGTGGGTGATATGTGACTTTCCCTAATGAGTTTTCTGCCTGATGCACTAAAGAAAAAAAAAATCAGAGTAAAAATGTTAGCAGCAGGTTTGTGTTAAAACAGTTACCGAAGTTGAATTCTTTCACGGATAAAGACAGCCAGGATGGCTGACAGCCGTTCTCCTTCCTTATAACATGTTCCCCTTCATTAGTACTGTGCTTATGAACCCTCCATCACACATGCTGGAATCAGGCCAAAGTAAATGTCACAGAACTGTACAGTGGTCCTAAGAAGTGAATGAATGTCACCTTTCAGTTGGTGTACAAAGCCTGAACCAAAAGCTTATCAATGGGGCTTTCTATGCTCAGGATGTCTGAATGTGTGTTGAGTGCGTCTACATTTCACTAAAAATACCATGGGAGTCTTTGGTATGTATATATATGCAGGACTGATGTTTAAGTGAATGAGCTCCATGAAATACTGCATTAGTCAGAGGGCTGAAAAATAGTCAAACTAAATGTGAAGTGGCTAAAATAGGACAGTATTGTGTCGAGTTGTCAGACAGACGTTTGTTGACAGCATCAGGAGGAACAAGTGAAAAGTAAGGGATCTGATCCACCTGAGTCACCCCCTCTCTATTTTCTTTGACAGACTCCAGCTGGATAAAACCTCAGCTGAGGAGCTCTGTTGATCCTTGATCCTTCATAGCACCTTGATCCAGACCAATCCCCCCAACCCCTTCTCGCTGTTACATTTCAAGCACACCAAAGTCCCAGCAGTAGCTGCTTTGTGAGCTTGAAATACAATTAAGAAAATCAGTAATAATCAATATACATCTTTAGAAAAATTATTTTTGTTGTAGAAACCCGGATTTTGTGTCATTTGTCCAACATCAGTGTAATAATGGCTTATTGTTAGGTTTTCACCTTACCTTCCAATCATTCCATAATCATTCTTAGCTGTTTCCTTTGTTCTTTGCATAATTTAATTCGGACATGAAAATTATGAAACTCTATTGGTCTTCCAAGAGGAAATGCGGGGAAAATATTATTATTATTTTTTTTTGTGGTTGACAGAAATCTTTGCGTTTTACAAACTTCCCTGTTTTAACTTCTTCGACTGAAATTTGCCATGAGTTTGAGTTGATTTAATCAGTGATCAGATAAAATACAAACACCTGCATAGTTAATAAAAGCTTTTAAAAATTAACTAATTCGTGAAAGCATCACAGTTCACAAATGAATCATCTGCCAGACCCATAAAGCGTTATATGCATCTCTTTATAATCTCGTTTTGACTGAAATAGCTGATTTAAAGCTGCTCTGGATGATTCTTTTGTCAACAATGGTTGCTTCTAGGGCTGAAACAAACAATTGAATAACTATTGATTAATTGATCAATGAAATAACTATGATCTGATTTAGTAATCGAATGATTGTTAGCTGAAGTGTACAGACTAAAACAGGGCAGATGCTGAAAGAGTAACCCAGTCAGAAAAGCCAAAACTTTACAAAAAATATAAATGTGTTGGATAAATGTATATTTCATCTGTAAATATGTGGTATCCATCATTGCTTAAGTGGCCTAGTTTTAGTTTCATTTCCTAGAAATTCTGCTACTAAGCACCTTTGACTATTCAATTCCAAATTGATTTTTTGCCCGGAAAAAAAATAAGTGAATCAATTAGCAAAATAACTGTTAGTTGCAGCTCTAGTTACTTTCAAGGAAAAATAAAGATGAAGGATATGTTGGCTGATTTGTGCTTAAATCCACCAAACAAACAAACACTTGGGAGCTTTTAGAATCAAAGTGCAGATCCTGTGAGGCAGATGTGTTACCTAAAGATAATTCAACTAAGGGTTAGAATTGATGCCAGTGCAGAGCTTCCTGTTCACTGACATAGCAAGCTTTGCAAGCAGACAGGTGGATATGTTTTAAAGTCAGCCTTGTGTTTAGAAGAGGAGCAAAATAATCCAAAGCATTCATTAAGAACAGACCAAATTGCAGAATGAACCTGGACTGGACAGCAGAGGACTAGCTTATATGGTTATTTTCTTTGCTTAACCCAGTCAGACTGAATGAGTAGAAAAGCACTGTCTAAACACTCTATGAAATTAAAACTTTTTTTCCCTAATCGGAGCAGCTGGCTGAGGAACAATGTTTCCCTACCACACAGTTTCACTAAGTCACGATGCAAAAGTAATAACTATCTGAAACATCAAATGAAACATTAACAGTTCTGGTTTATAACAGCAAGTTATTTCTCTTTTACAATAGTTTGAGAAGAAATATACAGTAATCCCTATACCAAGTACAGGACCCTGGTTTCCATGTCTGCATTACCCTTTTTGGATAATTTTATGGATTTCAATATTGACAGCATCAATACCCACTCAGTAAAGCAGTAAAGGAAGAACATGGCATCTGTGCCAGGTATCAGCATGGTCTCTTTCTCACCATTGGTCCTTGCATCACACCCATCTGTGCTCCACCGCCGGCCTTCTCATCGAAACCACCCGCCATCTGAGCAGCAAAGTTCTGGAGAGGAAAAATAAAGCCGGTCATCATCAAGTAGGATAATAAAACTACTTAAACAGAACATTTCTTACAATGCAGAGTCCTTCACAGATTATAGAATTGTCTGTCTGTCTGTCTGTCTGTCTGTCTGTCTGTCTGTCTGTCTGTCTGTCTGTCT